AAGGGAGGAGAGAACTTCCACTTTGACTTTGACTTTGTCTAAATAAGATCGGAGTTTGTGAACTCAAGAGGCTTCCATAGCCTTGGCAGCTAATGACAAGAGCCTTAGGTGATTACTGACGGCATAAATAAGAGTGTCAATTGTTAAATCAACAACGGGAGTCACTGTGCACCTACTCCCCATGTAGGATCTCTGTCCTTAATGTGTTGTACTATGCGAATTAATGGTAAAACTACTACTCAAGCAGTACTCTATACTTTTTGTGTCTGTGGGGGTGCAGTCTGTTGAAATCTTTACTTAGTATATACTAAGTTGATATTCTGTATATAAAGATAATTGAAAATGAATCTTGATGAAGAATGGGATGGGAGAGGACGTGGGAGATGGGATGGTTGCGGGTGGGAGGGAGGTTATGGGGGGGAAAGCCGCTATAATCCGAAAGTTGTGTTTTGGAAATAAATATTTATTAAATAAAAGTTGAAAAAAAAATAAAAAAGAAATTCAGAACAACAAAAAAAAAGATTTATTGATTTACTTGAAAGTTAGAGTTACACAGAGAGAGAAGGAGAGGCAGAGAGAGAGGTCTTCCATCCGCTGATTTACTACTCCGTTGGCCGCAGCAACTGGAACTGCGCCAATCCGAAGCCAGGAGCAAGGAGCTTCTTCCGGGTCTCCCACGTGGGTGCAGGAGCTCAAGGACTTGGGCCATCTTCTACTGCTTTTCCAGGCTTTAACAGAGAGCTGGATCGGAAGTGGAGCAGCAGGAACTCGAACTGGTGCCCATATGGGATGCAGGCACGGCAGGCAATGGCTTTACCTGCTACGCCACAGTGCTGGCCCCATATCCCACATACAATTATTTTAAGTCATTGTTCTGTCACCAAGTTTAGTCAGCCTTCTTGTGTGTCCAGGTAGAGTAAAAATGGGAAAAAGTTAAGAGGAAGGTATGTATAGGTAGAGACTGAAACAGGTAATCTCTATAGAGAGATTTTTCTCCTCTGATAGTCAAAATTATATAAAAAATGCAGTTTATTCTCTCACTTGGTTATTCACCTATACCTCTTTTCTTCATGTTCCTCCAGTCTCTTACCTGGAAATTTGAGTGATCACTTTTCATTTGGGGCCTGATTCACTTTGGGTGAGAAGACAGATTGTTCTGGGTTTTGCACATTTCTGGTTGTTCCTATATATTAGTGTTGTTGACAACATATTTGGGGATGTGGCCCAGTATGACTGCATTTTAATATCACCTAAGTGATTCAGATCCATCTGATTAGTGGACTATAGTTTGAGACACTGCCCTAAATACTGTGCAGGTTAGGATGAATTGTGACAAAATCTCATAGATGTTTCTTAAAGCTTGCGAAATGTCATTTGTTTTATATAGAACTGTAAAAGGAGTTAGATTTCACAAAGAAAAGTCTAGAAATTATATTATGTGGTAACTATTTGCTATAATCACTCTGCGACTTCAATGCTAAGAAGCAGTGTAGCTTATTGTTGACTCTTTTTATGTTTCATTTTACCTCAAGTGTGTTCCCCTCTTTTCAGAGACGTTGTCAGTTTTTTTTTTTTTAAGATTTGTATTTATTTACTTGAAATGGGGGGTTACAAAGGTAGAGGCAAAGAGAGATAGAGAGAGAGAGAGAGAGAGAGAGAGAGATCTTCCATCTGTTGGTTCACTCCCCCAGATGATTGGGATGGTGGGAGCTGCCCAGATCCCAAGTGTAGGGGCCCAAGCACTTGGGCCATCTTCCACTGCTTTCCCAGGCCATAGCAGAGAGCTGGATCAGAAGTGGATCAGCTGGCGCCACAGCTCACTAGGCTAATCCTCTGCCTGCGGCGCCGGCACCCAGGGTTCTAGTCCCAGTTGGGGTGCCAGATTCTGTCCCAGTTGCTCCTCTTCCAGGCCAGCTCTCTGCTGTGGCTTGGGAGTGCAGTGGAGGATGGCCCAGGTCTTTGGGCCTTGCACCCCCATGGGAGACCAGGAGAAGCACCTGGCTCCTGGCTTCAGATCGGCGCAGTGCGCCGGCCTTAGCGGCCACTTGGTGGGTGAACCAAGGGAAAAAGGAAGACCTTTCTTTCTGTCTCTCTCTGACTGTCTAACTCTGCCTGTCAAAAAAAAAAAAAAAAAAAAAGTGGAGCAGCTGGGACACAAACCATTGCCCATATGGGCTGGCAGTGCCTCAGGCAGAGGCCTAGCCCACTGCGCCACAGTGCTGGTCCATCAGTTTCTTTTCTTTGAAATGGTCTTTAATCCTAGGAAGAGCAGCTTTTTATTTTAGTGGTTCTCATCCTGATCCTCCCATCCCAGTGCACCTCCCCACCCCAAAAGCGGGAGCCTCACTCCCATCCCAGTGCACCTCCCCACCCCAAAGAATCTCAGTTGCTGAGGCAGAGAAGGTGAGACAGTCTTCAAGGCTAATATGCCTGTTAAAAAGTTCTTGTTAAGAATAGTATTTTTTAAGTTTTTTTTTTTTTTTTAAAGAACTAGAGAGAGAGAGACTGAGATCTTTAATTTGCTCGTTCACTACCCAGATGTTCACAAGGGCCAGTGCTGGGTCAGGCCAAAGCCAGGAGCCAGGAGCTTCCTCCTATCTGCCATGTGGAGGGTAAGGGAGCTGGATGGGAAGTGGAGCAGCCAGGACACCAACTGGTGGCCATGTGGTGTGCTGGCATTGCAGGCAGTGGCTTTTCCTGCTACCCCAAGACTAATACTTCTTTTTTTTATTTTATTTATTTATTTTTTTAATTTTAATTTTTTGACAGGCAGAGTGGACAGTGAGAGAGAGAGACAGAGAGAAAGGTCTTCCTTTGCAGTTGGTTCACCCCCGAAATGGCCACTACAGCCGGTGCTATGTTGATCCGAAGCCAGGAGCCAGGTGCTCCCTCCTGGTCTCCGATGTGGGTGCAGGGCCCAAGCACCTGGGCCATCCTCCACTGCCTTCCCGGGCCACAGCAGAGAGCTGGACTGGAAGTGGAGCAACCAGGACTAGAATCCGGCACCTATATGGGATGCTGGTGCCGCAGGTGGAGGATTAACCAAGTGAACCACGGTGCCGGCCCCTCTCTTTTCTTTCTTTCTTTCTTTTTTTTTTTTTTTAAAGATTTATTTATTCATTTGAAAGTCAGAGTTACACAGAGATAGAAGGAGAGGCAGAGAGAGAGAGCTTCCATTTGCTGGTTCACTCTCCAATGAGCTGCAATGGGCGGAGCTGTGCCAATCTGAAGCCAGGAGCCAAGAGCTTCTTCCAGGTCTCCTATGTGGGTGCAGGGGCCCAAGCACTTGTGCCATCTTCCACTGCTTCCCCAGGCCATAGCAGAGAGCTGGATCGGAAGTGGAACAGCCAGGACTCAAACCGGCAGGATGCTGGCACTGCAGGCATTGGCTTTACCCGCTATGTCACAGCACTGGCCCCTGTCTACCTTTATTTCCCTATGAATTATAGTCCATGAGTTCCTGGGGGCTACGCTGTCTTTCTTCACTTCCTGTTATGGTTTTAGTCATTAGCAAGTGTGTAGAGGCCTTTCCCCTCTTTCACAGCTACTCCCATTTCATGGTAGCCTTCCCTTCAGCAAAGGAAGGATCTGCTTTCCCACCATAGCAAGCTTGTTTTGGAGGCAAAGAAGCCCTTATAGAAACAGCTTTTCTTTTTGGTCCAGAGAATAAAATGTACTCATTAAATGTTATTTCAAAGAAACATTAAAAAGGAATTAAAATCAGTAAAAGTGTGCAGGGTTGAGATTTTATTTTACCTTCTGTAAGAGCAATGGGAAAGCTTCCCCTTTGCCCTCTCACTTGTCTCTGGAATGAATGGATGATAGGTTCATGGGAGGAAGGGACATGTACAAGGGGCAGTCACAGGAGTGTGATTGCCCATAAGCCAGTGAGGTCCAGATCCTTTTGTATCTTTCCTCAGGGTTGGGGGAGGAGGGTTATGACCATTTGGAGCTTGGTAAATGATTTTAGGTGAATGGAAGGATAGTAAATTATTCTCTTTGGGAATTAAATGGGCCTAGGAGATGGACCATAGCTTGTGATAAGATCTGTATAAGTGTACAAGTATGGTTACATTCTTTAATATTCCTTCCTGTAGATCAGAGTTTAATTCATGAAAATTCAGGGAAGAGGCCAAAAATATTTTTCCCCCTTTTGGTGGGACCAATCTTCAGCAGATAATAGAGTTTCAGAATAAAGCCTCTGGGGCTGGCATTGTGGCACAGCAGATTAAGCTGCTGTCTACGATGCCTGCATCCCATGTGGGTCTTGTTCGAGATCTGGCTGCTCTGCCTTTTTTTTTTTTTTTTTTTTTTTTGACAGGCAGAGTGGACAGTGAGAGAGAGAGACAGAGAGAAAGGTCTTCCTTTGCCGTTGGTTCACCCTCCAATGGCCGCCGCTGCAGCCGGCGCACCGCGCTGATCCGATGGCAGGAGCCAGGATCCAGGTGCTTTTCCTGGTCTCCCATGGGGTGCAGGGCCCAAGCACCTGGGCCATCCTCCACTGCACTCCCTGGCCATAGCAGAGAGCTGGCCTGGAAGAGGGGCAACCGGGACAGAATCCGGCGCCCTGACCGGGACTAGAACCCGGTGTGCCGGCGCCGCAAGGTGGAGGATTAGCCTATTGAGCCACGGCGCCGGCCTTTTTTTTTTTTTTTTTAAGATTTATTTATTTATTTGAAAGGCACAGTTATAGAGGCAGAGAGAGAGAGAGAGAGAGAGAGAGGCTCCCATCTGTTAGTTCACTTCCCAAATGGCTGCAACAGCTGGAGATGGACGAGGCCAAAGCCAGGAGCCCAGAACTCAATCAGGGACTCATAAGTAGAATGATAGGTCTCATCTAACATCTTACGTTGTATGAAGACAGTGTGATCATGATCATTACTTGTCATGTGTTTTTAACTTTCTTTTTTTTTCCAAATTCAAAAATATCATTGACTTATTAATTCCTATTTAGCAGATTCCTATGGAAATAATAGCTTCTTTATCATCGTTCTTTTCAGGTTCACTAAGAATCTTTCCCCAGACAAAATCAACTTGAGTACCCTGAAAGGAGAAGGTCAGCTGACAAACCTGGAGCTGGATGAAGAGGTTCTGCAGAATGTGCTGGAGCTGCCCACCTGGTTAGCCATCACTCGGGTCTACTGCAACAGGGCCTCCATCCGGGTGAGACTGGGGTCAGAGTGCTGCTGAGCTCTTTGGCTGGCCTTCTGGAGGGACAGCTCCACAGCTCTGAGTCTCTGCTTTCCTCTTTCAGATTCAGTGGACAAAGCTGAAGACACATCCAATTTGCTTGGTAATGGTCTTTTTTGGTTGCAAGTAATCAAATGGGGATGTCCAGTACAGGCTTTTGAAAAATAAGAGAGGGGGTGGGGAGGAATCCTGATGTGCTGACCCCGCTGGGACTGGCGGATGCTTCTTTATGGCCCTGTGAGCATCTCTGAAACAGAGTGACCCTTGTCTGGGCTTATTCAGGAACCACTGTGTGGTGTAGGAATTAGCACCAAGGCACAAGACCCAGGACTTTTGTTACCTAACAATTTCTGCTGCCCAAATTCCATCCCTTGACATCCCCCATTTCTCTTGGCATCCTGACAGAATTGAAGTTAGAAATACAGTTCCTGTTGACTATCGGGTGATTGTCAGAGTCTGTGCTGTCTTCCTTTGTATTGTGCGTGCTTTTGTGTAGACACTTAGCTTTGCATGGCTTTTATTTCAGTGTCTAGATAAGGTAGAGGTGGAGATGAAGACCTGTGAGGAGCCTCGGCCCCCCAATGGACAGTCTCCCATCGCCCTGGCTTCTGGACAGAGGTTAGTTGCTTTGAGTCCTGTTATTTACAACATGTGAACTGTTGCAGACTCTATTAATTATTGTAGGAATTTTCAAACATATACTAAAGTGGAGAGAATAGTGTGATGTACCCCTATGGGTGTGTGTGTGTATGTTTATGTTTGTGTGCGCATACTGACAATGTATCTCAGGTGCCATACCATTCCACCTGTAAATGTCTGCAGATCATATGCTTTTAAAGGTTTGAAAAAAATGAAAACTACTTTTACATTCAGTGAAAATAACAAGAATTCATTAATATAATCTAATACCTATTTCATAACAAATTTTCCTGAGTTACCTCTACAATATTTACAGTGTGGGTAGAAAGAGGTTCACACGTGGTCGGCGCCACGGCTCAATAGGCTAATCTTCCGCCTGCGGTGCCGGCACACCGGGTTCTAGTCCCAGTCGGGGCGCCAGATTCTGTCCCAGGTGCAGGGGCCCAAGAACTTGGACCATCTTCTACTGCTTTCCCAGGCCATAGCAGAGAGCTGGGTTGGAAGTAGACCAGCCAGGACTTGAACCGGCACCCATAAGGGATGCTGGTGCTTCAGGCCAGTGCGTTAACCCACTGTCCCACAGCGCCGGCCCCTAGGAAAGAAGTATCTTTAAGAAAGAGAAAAGGGGCTGGCGCTGTGGTGTAGTGGGTTAATCCTCCGCTTGTGGAGCTGGCATCCTATATGGGTGCTGGTTCTAGTCCTGGCTGCTCCTATTCCAATCCAGCTCTCTGGTGTGGCCTGGGAAAGCAGTAGGAGACGGCCCAAGTGCTTGGGCCCCTGCACCTACATGGGAGACCGGGAGGACGCACGTGGCTCCTGGCTTTGGATCGGTGCAGCTCTGGCCGTTGCAGCCATTTGGGGAGTAAACTAAGGGACGGAAGACCTTTCTCTCTGTTTCTCTCTCTTACTGTCTGTAACTCTACCTCTCAAATAAATAAATAAAATCTTCAAAAAAAAAAAAAAAAGAAAAATAAATCATGATAATACCCTATTTTTCAATTCAAATGAAAGAGGTTTTTTTGACTTAACTTTTTGGATTCAATATTTGTATTTTTAAAAATTTACACACTGGGCCTGTGCCGTGGCTCAACAGGCTAATCCTCCGCCTTGTGGCGCCGGCACACCAGGTTCTAGTCCCGGTCGGGGCGCCGGATTCTGTCCCGGTTGCCCCTCTTCCAGTCTAGCTCTCTGCTATGGCCCCAGGAGTGCAGTGGAGGATGGCCCAAGTGCTTGGGCCCTGCACCCCATGGGAGACCAGGATAAGTACGTGGCTCCTGGCTTTGGATCAGCGTGGTGCGCCGGCCACAGCGCGCCAGCCGTGGCGGCCATTGGAGGGTGAACCAATGGCAAAAGGAAGACCTTTCTCTCTGTCTCTCTCTTTCACTGTCCACTCTGCCTGTCAAAAAAAAAAAAAAAAAAATACACACTGAATTTTGATGCCTAACAACAGTAACATAGTAAATGATTTGCAGTATTTCTTGCTTCTTATTTGTTTGTTTGTTTTGTTTTAAAAAGGTTTGTTTATTTGAAAGGCAGAGTTATACAGAGAGAAGGAGGGAGGGAGGGAGAGAAGGAGGGAAGGAGAGAGAGAGAGAGAGAGATCTTCCATCTGCTGGTTCAGTCCCCAAATGGCTTCAATGGCCAGGGCTGGGCCAGATTAAAGCCAGGAGTCTGGAAATCCATCCGGGTCTCCCACATAGGTGCAGTGGCCTAACAACTTGGGCCGTCTTTGGTTGCTTTTCTCAGATACGTTGGCAGGGACCTGGACCAGAAGTGTAGCAGCCAGAACTTGAGCCGGTTTAACTGGCTGCACCACAATGCTGGCCCCTATAATAGTTTCAAAAAATAACAAGACCAATATTCTAAGTATCAGTAAGACTATTTAATGCAGTAGATACTTCGTGTGTTTTTGTGTTTTAAACTTATATCACATTAGGGGTATATGGTCAAAATATTTTAAAGGTACTTGAAATTATTTTTAATGTGGTTGAGTGGCAATTTTTTTAAACTTTTATTTAATAAATATAAATTTTGAAAATACAACTTTTGGATTATAGCGGCTTTTCCCCCCATAACCTCCCTCCCACCCACAACCATCCCATTTCCCACTCCCTCTCCCATCCCATTCTTCATAAAGATTCATTTTTAGTTATCTTTATATACAGAAGATCAACTCTATGCTGAGTAAAGATTTCAACAGTTCACACCACACAGACACACAAAGTATAAAGTACTGATTGAAGATTAGTTTTACCATTAATTCTCATAGTACAACACATTAAGGACAAAGATCCTACATGGTGGGTAAGTGCACAGTGACTCCTGTTGTGAGTAGCAAATAAATATACAGAAAGCTTTGTTTGTTTTAAATTATTTTAATTTTTGAGAGGTAGAGTGAGCTCTCATCTGATGGATCACTCTCAGAATTCTCACAGTGACCATGATCACACCCCGGAGCTGGGAACTCAACCTGAATCTCCCACATGGGTGACAGGGACCCAACCACTTGAGTCATCACCTATTGTCTCCCAGTGTGTATGTATATTACCAGGAAGCTAGAATTGGGAGAAGAGCTAGGACACTCTATTCTGGGCTGTGTGCAACCCAAGTGGCATTTTAATCACTAGATCAAATGCCTGTCGTAATTTATTTTTAACTGTATAAAATAATATAGTTTTACAAAGACGGTACTGAGACTGGATGGAATGGGTTAAGCTGCTGCTTGTAATCCATTTGAGTGACAGTTTAAGTCCCAGCTGCTCCACTTCTGATGCATCTGGGAAAGCAGCAGAAGATGGCCCAAGTATTTGGTCCCCTGCCACCCACATGGGAGAACCAGATGGAGTTCCAAGTTCCTGGCTTGAGCCTGGTCCAGCCCTGACTGTTGCAGCCATTTGGGGAGTGAACGAGTGGATGGAAGATCTCTTGATTACCCACCCCACCCTGCTGTAACTCTGCCTTACAAATTAGTAAAATGAATCTTTTGCGAAAAGGTTGAAAGAAGTATCATATTTGTATTCTCCCCACCTGCTTCTTTTTTTTTTTTTTTAAAGATTTATTTATTTATTTATTTGAAAGTCAGAATTACACAGAGAGAGGAGAGGCAGAGAGAGAGAGAGAGGTCTTCCATCCGATTATTCACTCCCCAATTGGCCACGACAGCTGGCGCTGTACTGATCCGAAGCCAGGAGCCAGGTGCCTTTTCCTGGTCTCCCATGTAAGTGCAGGGGCTCAAGGACTTGGGCCATCTTCTACTGCATTCCCAGGCCACAGCAGAGAGCTGAATAGGAAGTGGAGCAGCCGGGTTTCGAACTGGCGCCCATATGGGATGCCGGTGCTTCAGGCCAGGGCATTAACCCACTGTACCACAGCGCCAGCCTCCCCACCTGCTTCTTTACAAAAAACATACCGTGGTTTAAATGCTTTCTCTACATTAATTCTTTCATGTAAGAGTATGTCCTGGAGATCACCCCGTAGGAGTATAAAGATATTCTTTATTCCTTTTCCTTAAGAAAAGGCAGAATTACAGTGAGAAAGGGAGAGAGACAGAGACAGAGAGCTCTTCCATCTGCTGATTGATTCTCCGGATAGCCACAACAGCCAGCAGTGGGCCAGGCCGAAGCCCAGAGCCAGAATATTCTTCTGGGTCTCCCACATAGGTTGCAGGGGCCCAAAGCACTTGGACCATCCTCTGCTTCTTTTCCCAGGCCATTAGCAGAGAGCTGGTACAGAAGTAGAGCAGCTGGGACACAAACCAGCACCGATATGGGATGCCAGCGTCAGCTGCTTTACCTGTTATGCCACAATGCTGGCCCTCTGTTCCTTTTCTTTTTTAAAGATTTATTTATTTGAAAGAGTTACAGAGAGAGGTAGAGACAGAGAGAGAGAGAGAGGTCTTCTATCTGCTGGTTCACTCCCCAGATGGCTGCAATGGCTGTTGCTGCGCTAATCCAAAGCCAGGAGCCAAGAGCTTCTTCAGGTCCCCCACGTCGGTGCAGGGGCTCAAGGACTTGGGCCATCTTCCACTGCTTTCCCAAGCCATAGCAGAGAGCTGGATTGGAAGAGGAGCAGCCAGGATTAGAACTGGCGCCCATATGGGATGCTGGCACTTCAGGCCAGGGCGTTAACCTGCTGCGCCACAGCACCGGCCCCTATTCCTTTTCATATCTGCTGAATCTGCTTATTTTATTGAGGTGCTGTAATTTACTTAACCAGTTCTTTGTGTTAATAAACATTTGGATTATTTCTAGTTTTTTTAGTGTTACAAATGGTGTAGCAGTAAATAACCTAAGCCAGTATTTTGCTAACATGTTTTAAAAATCAGTTTCATGAGATAAAATTTCTGTACTAAAGAATTCACTCATTTGAAGTGTGTATTTGGTGTTTTTTTCTAAATTTACTCGTATATGCAGTTATCACCACAATCAATTTTAGAACATTTTCATCATTCCAAAAGAAACTCCAGGCCGATTAGCAGTCACACTTCGTTCTCCCTTGCCTTAGCTCCACTAATCTACTTATCTACTTTCTTTCTTTTTTTTTTTTTTATTAATACATTTATTTATTTGAAAGACAGAGTTACAGAGAGGCAGAGAGAGATACAGAGATCTTTCATCCGCGGTTCATTCCCCAGTTGGTCACAATGGCTAGAGCTGCACCCATCTGAAGCCAGGAGCCAGGAGCTTCTTTGGCTCCATCTTATACTGCCTTCCCAGGCCACAGCAGAGAGCTGGATCAGAAGTGGAGCAGCTGGGACTTGAACTGGTGCCTACGTGGGATGCTGGCTCTGCAGGCGGCGGCTTTACCCCCTACGCCACAGTGCTGGCTCCACTAATCCACTTTCTATATCTATTCTGAACATTTCCTATAAATAAGACTATATGTTCTTTTTAAAAATGTTTTCTTTTTAAGATTTATTTATTTATTTGAAGGTCACAGCTACAGAGTGAGAGGGAGAGGCAGAGAGATTTTTCCATCTACTGACTTACTCCCCAGATGGCCGCAATGGTTGGGGCTGAGCCAGGCTGAAGCCAAAAGCCAAAAGTTTCATTTGGGTCTTCCACGTGGGTGGCAGGGTCCAAACACTTGGGTCATCTTCCACTGCTTTTCACAGGCCATTAGCAGGGAGCTGGACTGGAAATAGGGCATCCGGAACTCGAACCAGTGGCTTAACAGGCTTAGCAGGCAGTGGCTTAGCAGGCTAATCCAGGATGCTGGCTTCCATGCCAGTCTTTGTACTGGAAGACATCAGACTAAGCTGTTGCCTACTAACATTGTAATTGATTGTCTTTATTTTTCTCTTCTTGTATTTTTTAAGTTTCTAAATTTTTTTTATAATGATGATAGAATATTCTTTTTAATGGGATTTTTAAAAAAGAACAGAATAAAAGGAAAAAAGTTAATCTGGCAACAATGTCCCTCCTATTAGAATAAGTTGATAAATCTTTTTACAACCCACAAACCACCTGAATAAATATTTAGATACTGTTTGTGAAGGGTGGAATAACTATAAAAAGAAAACACTAGGTTTCTATAAAATCTTCAAAGACAGAGCACATTCTGCAAAGCCAATGGAGTGAACCAACGATGGAAGATTCTCTCTTTCTCTCTGTCTTTTAAATAAATACATAAACATTAAAGGGTGGGGCACAGCGCTGTGTTGTAGTGGGTTAAACCATTGTATGCAATGCCGACATCCCATATAGGTCTGAGTTCGAGTCCCAGATGTTCCACTTCCGATCCAGCTCCCTGCTAATGTGCCTTGGGAGGCAGCAGAGGCTGGCATAAGTGCTTGAGGCCCTGAACCCAAGTGGGAGATCCAGATGATGCTCCTGGCTCCTGGCTTCGGCCTGGCTAAGCTCAGGCTGTTGTGGCCATTTGGGGAGTGAACCAGAGGATGGAAGATCTCTCTGTCTCTCTCTCCTCTGTAACTCTGCCTTTCAAGTCAAATAAATAAATCTTTAAAAACACTGTGCATGAAATCTCATGATTCTGCTCACTGGTTTGCTTCATTTTTGTAGTGAGTATGGCTTTGCAGAGAAGGTGGTGGAGGGGATGTTCATCATCGTCAATTCCATCACTGTCAAGATTCATTCGAAGGCCTTCCACGCTTCTTTTGAACTGTGGCAGCTCCAGGGCTATAGCGTCAACCCCAACTGGCAGCAGAGTGACCTCCGCTTTACTCGCATCACCGACCCCCACCGAGGAGAGGTGACAGCCCTAGCATCGTGAGGGGAGTTGATGGGGGATTCAGAGGAGGACTAATTCTTAAAGGAAATTACTCCTGCTTTGGCAGTTTCCTCAAATGTTCCCTGTTCCCGGGAACACAGAGTTCTTTCTGTCTGGTGTTGCTGAGACACCCTTTCCTCCGTTATGCGTCTGTTGTGATCCACTGCTGTTCATTGTTGGGATCCTGACTGAGAATGCTGGGAGTCTCTGCCTTGCCAGTCTGTTTCCTTTCTCTTTCCTGCCTCTTGGTTAACTTCACCCATGGAATTAAGGGATTTACTCTCTCTCCTTCCAGGTTTTAACATTTAAGGAAATAACTTGGCAGACACTTCGAATTGAGGCAGATGCCACAGATAGTGGTGATCAGGACCCAGTCACCACTCCACTGAGGCTCATTACCAACCAAGGCAGGATTCAGATAGCCCTCAAGAGAAGAGTGAGTGTATTCTCTGAACCTCGTGAAAATGCCCATCTTTCATTCTTCTGCACAGCCCAGGATTTGGCATCTTTACATTGTTGGAGTTTTATTTGAAGGGGGAGGGCCTGAAGTTCAGTACTGCACAGTAGATACCAGTGAGAGAACATTTCCATTTCTCTGTTCTCCAAATTTTGGAATCACCATTCTTAACACTGGTATAGGAACCTAGTGGTTAACTATTGATGCTTTTTGTTTGATAAGCAAACTTTAGTAGTTTGGTAAGTAATTGACTGTCCATACTGGAGATTGAAAATCCACCTCTGAAACTGATTGGGCCAGTCAGTTTGAGAGGTTGGGTGGTACAAGGTGATAAACCCCATGTTTTCTGTGGCTCCCTTAGACCAAAGATTCCAATGTGATAGCCTCCAAGTTGATGTTCCTGTTGGATGACCTGCTCTGGGTGCTAACTGACTCACAGCTCAAGGCTATGATGAAGTACGCTGAGTCACTGAGTGAGGCCATGGAAAAGTCAGCCCAGCAAAGGAAGAGCCTGGCCCCTGAACCTGTGCAGGTTAGAAAAACAGACACCCTTGGTGGAGCTGGGGGAGACAGTAGATCAGATCTAATTCTTCTCAACATAGGTGGAAGCAATACTTTATTTGGCTTGTTTGGGAGTTTTTTATTTGGTTTTGGATGTTTGTGGGCTTTGCTTATACCTCTGATTTTGTTCATTCTTTTGTTGGGTAATTCCAGTGTTTTAGGTATACAGTGTTAGTCACTAGAGAGGAAAAGTGGAATAAGCCTCTTGTTCCTGTCCTGGAGCTCTTACTGTCTGGAAAGATGAAGCACACACAGGTTGTTGTAATATGCCATGAGAATTGCTGCAACACAGGCATTTCACCACTAGAGGAAGTGGTGTTTGGTTGGTTGGTTTTTTAAAAGATTTTATTTATTTATTTATTTTTAAAGATTTATTTATTTATTTGAAAGTCAGAGTTACACAGAGAGAGGAGAGGCAGAGAGAGAGAGAAAGAGAAGGGGGGTCTTCCATCCGATGGTGCACTCCCCAATTGGCAGCAATGGCCGGAGCTGCGCTGATCCAAAGCCAGGAGCTTCCTCTGGGACTCTGACACAGGTGCAGGGGCCCAAGGACTTGGGCCATCTTCTACTGCTTTCCCAGGCCATGGTGGAGAGCTGGATGGGAAGTGGAGCAGCCGGGTCTCAAACTGGCGCCCATATGGGATGCCAGTGTTTCAAGCCAGAGTGTTAACCCGCTGCACCCCAGCACTGACCCCAATTTTATTTATTTATTTACTTGAGAGGCAGAGTTACAGAGAGAAAGAGGCAGAGACAGAGAGAGAGGTCTTCCATCTGATGGTTCACTCCCCAACTGGCCACAGTAGCCAGAGCTGGCCCGATCCGAAGCCAGGAGCCAGGAGCTTCTTCTGGGTCTCCCACATGGGTGCAGGGGCCCAAGGACTTGGGCCATCTTCAGCTGCTTTCCCAGGCCATAAGCAGGAAGCTGGATCAGAAGTGGAGCAGCCAGGACTCAAACTGGCGCCCATATGGGAGAGGCTTAACCTACTGTGCCACAACACTGGCCCCTAGAGGAAGTGTTTTATTATCTGTTAGCTAAGTCCTGGTGATTGAGAACTTGGAGTGCAATTCATACCTCAGGACGGTATTCCAGCAGTTACTAGACTAATTAATTACGCATTTTGGAGTTTGAGTTATCGAGTTTGCACCAGACCTAAGCAAACAGTTATGAGAAAGAAAGGACATTTTGCTAAACTGTAGTTTTATTCAGGCTGGACTGAAGCTTAAAGAAAACCTCTGAAGGAGCATCTCAGGGTCTGCACTTCTTGTTTTTCTCTCTGTCACATATAGATCACTCCACCTGCTCCCAGTGCCCAGCAGTCCTGGGCCCAGGCATTTGGTGGCAGCCAGGGCAACAGCAACAGCAGCAGCAGCCGCCTCAGCCAGTACTTTGAGAAATTTGATGTGAAAGAGTCCTCCTACCACCTGCTCATCTCCCGCCTGGACCTGCACATTTGTGATGATAGCCAGTCCCGAGAGCCAGGTAGCCCATGAGGCCTGCGCTTGGGCTGGGTGGTCCACAACACTGTCTAAATATGGACAAAGCCTGGGATGGAAGGTTCTTTTCCCGAGATGCTACGGAGTATTTTGGTTTCCTTTTGCACACTGGGCCTCGGCCGTCCTACGGTAGCTCTCCTGGTTAGCATGAGGCTAACTCTCTAGCCGTTAAGGTGAAGCAGGGTTGCCTGCCATACTTACTGAGGTACATGTTTTGGTCCTCTTCCCCAAACTCACCAAATCAGAATCTTCAGGGGTAGAGTCCTAGCACCGTGAGCCTTGTTTCCCCTCCCCAAAGTCCCTTGGTCAATGCTGATGCTTGCCAGTGGCTGAGAGTCTCTAGGTAAGATTTTAGGAAAGTAAATTCAACTGTAGGATGCCTCTGAATGATCAGGCTTTTGAGTCATTTTAGTATAATTTATTTGGTATAGTTCTGCTTTTCCCAAGTAGAGAGGTTTTGCTGTGTTCTTGTCATATTTAGAACTATTGATATTGCATATACCTACACATTTATTCAGAATGAAAAAAGAATTAACTGATTTATTTTCTTGATGAGCCTTGGGGAAGTCAATCTCTTGGTTAACCTTTCTGAGTTTCCTCATTTGTGAAATGGAGCTAAATCATATCTTATCCATTTACTTCAAAGGTTGACATTAGGCTCAAATGAGATAATATACTGAGTTCGGAGGCAGATATTGACTGTTGTTATTACTCTGCTGTGTATTCCTTCAACATTGTCTCTGTGTTCCCTTTATACTGCTCTGGGCCACCAGCTATTGGCTTGTGATGTGCACTTGGGGTAGATGATTTTCTTACTATGTTATTTTTTTAAAAGATTTATTTATTTGAAAGCCAGAGTTACACAGAGAGAAGGAGAGGCAGAGAGAGAGAGAGAGAGGTCTTCCATCCTCTGGTTCACTCTCCAGTTGGCCACAATGGCTGGTGGTGAGCCAGTCTAAAGCCAGGAGCCAGGAGCTTCTTCTGGGTCTTCCACATGGGTGCAGGGGCCCAAGGACTTGGGCCATCTTAGACTGCTTTTCCAGGCCATAGCAGAGAGCTAAATTGGAAGTGGAGCAGCCGGGACTCAAACCAGCACCTACATGGGGTGCTGGCACTGCAGGTGGCGCTATACCACAGCGCCGGCCCCATTACTATGTTATTTTCTCTGAAGGCTGAGTTTGCCTCTCAGGGAGAGCTAGGCTCTGTTTCCACAGCAGAACCACCTATTCTTTTCTTCCTGGGGACAGTGTTGCATCTCTGCTTGGCTATGATCACATCTTTGCTTTTGTTCTTGCTACCAAAGAAAATCATGTGCCACCGATCATTTTGGAAGTTCACTACTAAAGCTGTTTTTATCTTTGGTTATTTCTTCTAAAGTCTTTTTGTTTGTTTGATAGTTTTTTTTTAGTTCTTTCAGAAGCCTTAATTAAGAGTACATTGTTGGCTGGCGCCGCGGCTCAATAGGCTAATCCTCCACCTAGCAGTGCCGGCACACCGGGTTCTATTCCCGGTTGGGGCACTGGATTCTTTCCCGGTTGCCCCTCTTCCAGGCCAGCTCTCTGCTGTGGCCCAGGAAGGCAGTGCAGGATGACCCAAGTGCTTGGGCCCTGCACCCCATGGGAGACCAGGATAAGTACCTGGCTCCTGCCTTCGGATCAGCGCGGTGTGCCAGCCGTGGCGGCCATTGGAGGGTGAACCAACGGCAAAGGGAAGACCTTTCTCTCTGTCTCTCTCTCTCTCTCTCTCTCACTGTCCACTCTGCCTGTCAAAAAAAAAAAAAAAAAAGGCATTGTTAAGAATTTCAGCCTGTTGCTAGCTGAGGAGTGTATAGCACATTTGTGTGTAGGTGCCAGTGTCCTAAAATCCATACCAAGATATTAATGACTGTGATCTTTTCACTCATTTTTGTTTATTTTAAAATATTTATTTGAAAGGCAAAGTGACATGAGAGAGAGACAGACAGACAGAAATAGAGAGATCTCCCATAAGCTACTTCAGTCCCCAAATGACTGTGACAGCCAGATCTGGGCCAGTTTGAAGCCAGAAGCCAGGAACTCCTCCAGGTCTTCCACATGGGTGTCAGGGGCCTCAGTACGTGGACCATCATCTACTACCTTCCCAGCTGCATTAGCAGGAAGCTGCATCAGAAGTGGAACATCCAGGGCTCAAACTGGCACTACAATATGGGATGCCAGCATTTTAATGACTTAGCCCATCATGTCACAATGCTAGCCCCATTTTCATTTATTTTTTCTTTTAAAGATTTATTTATTTATTTTGAGAGTCAGAGTTACAAAGAGAGAGGCAGAGCGAAAGAGAGAGAGAGCACTTCCATTCAGTGGTTCACTCCCCAAATGGCCACAACAGCCAGCACTGGGCCAGGCTGAAGACATAAGCCAAGAGCTTCATCCGGGTCTCCGTCTTGGGTGGCAGGGATCCAAATACTTGGGCTATCCTCTGCTGCTTTTCCCAGGCCATTAACAGTGAGCTGGATTTGAAGTAGAGAGCTAGGATGTGAACCATCCTATGGTATGGGATGCTCATGTTACAGGTGGTGGGTTTACCTGTTATGCCACAACACTGGCCCCTTTTCATTTATTTTATGAAACTAAATTAGTCTCCTGGGAGGATGAGATATTTGTAGCTGTGGGGATAATTCCCAGCCTATTATGCCCACATGTGGTATATTCCTTTGTGTAGGAGCATTCAACAGGGAGGGTTCTTATAACTTTGACTCTTCCCCCTTGGATGTGGGGAAGAAAAGAAGGGAAATTAGGAGGTAAAGAAAGGGCTTTAAGAGTCTCTGGAGTTATTCTGTTCAGGGAAGTAGCTGCTAGCCATGTGTGACTATTGGGCCCCTGGAATGTGACTGATGCAATTTGAAATACCCTGCAAGTGTGATATAAATGTTGAATTTCAAAGAGATGGTATGAAAAAAGGTGTTAAATACCTCAATAATTTTTATATTGATTACATATTAAAATAATATTTTGGGTATATTGACTTACTTTTTAAAAGATTTATTTATTTATTTGAAAGGCAAAAGTAGAGAGAAGGGAGGAGAAAAAGAGAAAGAGAGAGAGTGAGAGAGATATCCTCCATCTGCTGGTTCATTCTCCAAATGATCCCAATGGCCTTGGCTTGGCCAGGTATAATCCAGGAGACTGAAACTCCATCCAGGTCTCCCACATGAGTGACGGGGGCCCAAGCACTTGGGCTGTGTTCCGCTGCTTTCTCAGGCATATTAATGGGAAGCTGAATTGGAAGTGGAGCAGCCAGGACTTGAAACTGGCACCCATATGGGATGCCTGCATCATAGGCAGGCACAGAACCCACCATACCACAGAACTAGCCCTGAGTATATTAATTTAAATAATAGATAATATTAAAAAATAGATAATATTAAAATCAATTTTACTTTTTCAAATTTTTTCACATAATACCAGAAAATTTTAAATTACTTATGTGGTTCACATTATATTTCTGTTACATTAAAACTGTCCAATCTGGTAACTACTAGCCACATTTGGCTATTTAAATCAAAATGAGAATTAAAACTATAATTTAATTTAATTCAATTTAATTTTTTATTTTTTGACAGGCAGAGTTAGACAGTGAGAGAGAGAGAGACAGAGAGAAAGGTCTTCCTTCCGTTGGTTCACCCCCTAAATGGCCGCTAAGGCTGGCGTGCTTCACTGATCCAAAGCCAGGAGCCAGGGGCTTCCTCCTGGTCCCCCATGTGGGTGTAGGGGCCCAAGCACTTGGGCCATCCTCCACTGCCTTCCCGGGCCACAGCAGAGAGCTGGACTGGAAGAGGAGCAACAGGGACAGAATCTGGTGCCTCAACCGGGACTAGAACCCGGTGTGCCGGCGCCGCAGGCAGAGGATTAGCCAAGTGAGCCGCGGTGCCGGCCTATAATTTTATTTTAAATATAATTGAAATTAGTTCTTTGTACTAGCCACATTTCTTTTTTAAAAAATATATATTTTTTCTCTTTTACAAGGATTAATTTATTCATTAATTTTAAAATAAAAATACTTGCAAAATACAATGTATTTCCTCTGCACATACCATTTACACCATCTTCTTAGAACTCTTCAAGCTGGGGCCAGTGCTGTGGCATAGCAGGTGGAGCTGCTGCCTGCAGTGCCGGCATCCCATATGGGCACCGTTCGAGTCCTGGTTGCTCCACTTCCAATCCAGCTCTCTACTATGGCCTGGGAAAGCAGTAGAAGATGGCCCAAGTCCTTGGGCCCCTGTACTCATGTGGGAGACCTGGAAGAGGCTTCTGGCTCCTGGCTTCAGATTGGCGCAGGTCCAGCTGTTGTGGCCAATTGGAAAGTGAACTTTAGGATGTAGGATCTCTCTCTCTCTCTCTCTCTCTCTCTCTCTCTCTCTCTGCCTCTCCTTCTATCTTTGTGTAACTCTGATTTTCAAATAAAAAAATAAATATTTAAAAAAAAATCAAATGGGAGCCATTTTTCCATTCAATTATCATTTATAGCCATTGTCTGTATTCCTACTAAACCTTGTAAATGTTTTTACTTGTTAAACTTCTTATTTGGTGAAATATTAGAGGCTTTTTTACTGTAATGTAAATTCAAAAATGTTATCTTGAAAACTAAAAAGAACTAAAAAGAAAGAAAGAGAGAAGGAATGAGAGAGTGGGAGGGAGAGGCGGAGAGAGGAAGGGAATATCATTATGTTCTTTTCTTTTTTTAAAATATTTATTTATTTATTTGAAAGACAGAGTTACAAAGAGACAGAGGGAGAGACAGACGGAAAGAGAGAGGGAGAGAGAGAGAGGGAGGGAGGGAGGGAGGGAGGCAGGGAAAGGCAGTTTCCATCTGCTGGTTTACTTCCCCAAATGGCCACAATAGCTGGGGCTGGGCCAGGCTGAAGCCAGGAGTCTTCCAGGTCTCCCATGTCTGGGTGCAGGGGCTTGATCCATCTTCCGCTGCTTTCCCAGGCACATTAGCAGGGAGCTGGATCGGATGTGGAGCAGCCAGGACTTGAACCAGCACCCATATAGGATGCTGGCACGGCAGGCAGCAGCTTTACAGCTTAGCTTCATCACAGTGCCGGCCCCCTATCATTATGTTCTTAGAATTGCATCTACAAATCACATAGAATCTGTTAAAAACTAGTTAAAAATTAAAATAACATTAAAAAAAAACAGGAGAAAAAATAAAATCACACACACAAATTCAAAGGGAGCTGCTCACACTTCAGGCTTTAGAGTAGAGGTGGGTAGTTGATGGGGAAAAGAGGATCACCTACCTCTTTCTGTTTTCTTCAGGATAAAGTCTGTGAGCCCCAGACTTTCCTTATCTCTCTTAAGCACAACCTATCTGTCCCCACCAGCTAATTGGAGAATTTTAATCACTCATTTATGTATACAGTTTACCATTTATGGCTCATGTGTGATGTTTACAATTAGATATATTGGCAGTTGTTAATTACATTTGGTTTCAGTTCTGTATTTTAAAGATTTATTTATTTGAAAGGCAGAGTTAACAGAAAGGGAGAGATACACACTGGGTTCTTCAGTCCACTGGTTCACTTCCATAATGGCCATGCAATGGCCAGGGCCGGGCCAGGCTGAAGCCAAGAGCCAGAAGGTTCATCTGGTCTCTCAAGTGGGTAGCAGGGGCCTAAGTACTTGGGTCATCTTCTGCAGCATTCCCAGATGCATTAGCAGGGAACTGGATTAGAAGTGGAGTAGCTGGGAATTGAACCAGCACCTATATGGTGACCTCCAATTGTGAAAATGACTCTTTCTTTTATTAGCCTTATTAAGATAATTCACGTATCACTATTCATTTATTTAGAATATACAACTCATTGTTTTTAGGTTATTCATAGAGTTGTGCAGTCATTGTTTTGATATTTGCCTATTCTAAACATTGAGAATTGGTTTTGGGAGGCAAAATAATCTCAGATATAACAATAGTTGTGGCCTACATGACAACTTTAATCCTTAGTATTTAATTTCTCTCATGGGCTTTCTTGAACATCATAAAAAAGTTAATGGAAAATACACAAAATGTGTATGATGCTTCTGAAACATTTTAAAAAATTAGGCTGGCGCCTTGGCTCACTAGGCTAATCCTCCGCCTTGCGGCGCCGGCACACCGGGTTCTAGTCCCGGTCGGGGCGCTGGATTCTGTCCCGGTTGCCCCTCTTCCAGGCCAGCTCTCTGCTATGGCCCGGGAGTGCAGTGGAGAATGGCCCAAGTACTTGGGCCCTGCACCCCATGGGAGACCAGGAGAAGCACCTGGCTCCTGGCTTCTGATCAGTGCGGTGCGCCAGCCGTGGAGGCCATTGGAGGGTGAACCAACGGCAAAAGGAAGACCTTTCTCTCTGTCTCTCTCTCTCACTGTCCACTCTGCCTATCAAAAAAAAAAAAAAAAAAAAAAAAAAAAAAAAAAAACCGAAACAAAACACAAAATGTGTAGAAGGTCAGTGCTGCAAACTAATGGGTGACCTTGAGTAGAGGACTTTCAGTTCATCGCTCGACCTCACAGTCACATGGAAAGAGATGGCCTGCCAGTGCCTATCAGCTGCCACTGGCTGCCTTGCTAGTGTTATTTATGTTTGATTCTCAGTACTTTTGTGATTTGAACTTTGAGAATGAAATTAAAATATTTTATGCTTTATTATTTAATTATACTAAAGTCATTTAACTCATTGTTAACTTAGTTAAGTGCTAAAAAGAAGAAATGTTGACAGTGAATGACTATGTGATAGCTAGTTTAGAAATTATTTTCTTGTATCAAGCAGAAGTTAAATTTACTAAAAACACATTTAAGAAGTTAATTTACATTTTTCACCTCACTGCAAATAATTTTGAATAGTTAAAATTTTTATTATACTGCTATTATGTATAAATTACTCATTTGTATATATAATTTGATATTATAATTTAAGTAAACAGATTATAGTCAAAGTTATCAACAAATATAAAGTCAAGGTAAAATATTGATAGCTTTAAATTTTTTAATTAAAAAGTTTTTTTGTATTTGAGAGGCAGAGAGAGACAGATGAATAAGACCAGAGAGACAGTACTCATTCTTTGGTTCATTTGCCGAATGCCTGCAACAGCCATGGGCTGAGAACTCAGTCCAGGTCTCCTGTGTGGGTAGCAGGGACCCGACTACTTGTATTAACAGGAAGCTACAATCAGGAGTACAGCCAGGACTTGAACTTTGTTAGGCACTCTACTATGAGATGAGGGTATCCCAACCCGTGTTTTAACTGCTAGGCCAGATGCCTGCCCCCAATTTAATTTTTTAAAGATTTATTTCTTTATCTGAACGATGGAGTTACAAAGGCAGAGAGAGAGGTCTTTCAACCCATGGTTCACCCCCTAAATAGCTGCAGTGGCCAGGGCTGGGCTTGTCGCTCCCCCTCTTCGTGGAGGAACAACACAGGACCCTGCTCTGTTCTTTGTCTGCTCGGCCCTCCCCGGGTTAGCTGCTGGTTCTTCCCGGGTTGGCTGCCGTCCTTCCACCTCCGTGGAGGGACGGGCCCCCCTGCCACTTTCCCCACTTCCACGGGGGAGCGGCACACCGCCGGCCGGCTCTCTCGGGGGCTGCTCAGATGTTATCCGGATGTTCCCCTTAGATGTTCCTGGTGCATGTTGTCTCTCTCCTCCTTTATAGTCCTCTTCCACCAATCCCAACTCTGCTACCCACATGCCGAGTACGCTGCTCTCCTCCAATCAGGAGCAGGATCAGCTCCTGCAGGTTACTGGTCGAACTGGAGGCAGCTGTGTAAAAGCTGTTTACTCCTCTCCCAGCGCCATATTGTGGGAGAGCAGATGCATAGAATAAGTCTTAATTCGAGTAACTTAGTCTAGTCCGAGTTGCTCCCCACATGGGCTGATCAGAATCCAGGAGCCTAGAGCTTCTTCCAGGTCTCCCACATGGCTGCAGAGGCCCAAGGACTTGTGCCATCTTATGCTGCTTTCCCAGGCCATAAAAGAGAGCTGGATCAGAAGTGGAGCAGCCGGGACTCGAACCATCGCCTATATGGGATGCTGGCACTACAGGTGGCGGCTTTACCCCCTAAGCCACAGTGCTGGCCCCACCTAATTTTTTTTTTTTTTTTTTTTTGACAGGCAGAGTGGACAGTGAGAGAGAGAGACAGAGAGAAAGGTCTTCCTTTTGCCGTTGGTTCACCCTCCAATGGCCGCCGCGGCTGGCGCGCTGTGGCCAGTGCACCGCGCTGATCCGAAGGCAGGAGCCAGGTACTTATCCTGGTCTCCCATGGGGTGCAGGGCCCAAGTACTTGGGCCATCCTCCACTGCACTCCCTGGCCACAGCAGAGAGCTGGCCTGGAAGAGGGGCAACCGGGACAGAATCCGGTGCCCCGACCTGGACTAGAACCTAGTGTGCTGGCGCCGCAAGGTGGAGGATTAGCCTGTTGAGCCATGGCGCCAGCCCCTAATTTAATTTTTAACTTTAAAAATTTTATTTAGTGTTTCCTAACCATGCATTAAATAAGAAGAGTAGTTTCTGTGTATTTCCTTTTATGTATAAAGCACACACATGTATATGGTACATAACTAGATACAAGGCTCTGTGCTAGATACTCTAATAGGGGACAAGGTGGAAGTGCAGAAGAGGGTATGTCAGATAGCACATGTATGTTGAAAAATACTTCCTATTGTTACAATTCTTCAGTTTAATTGGAGAGACAAGAGAAACATGGAAAGTTCATTCATTTAGTAGCAAATATAACTCCAAAAAAAACACAACACAGTATTTGACTTACTGCTCAAATTCTGATTGTCTTGCAATATTCTGTGTGTTTAATTGATAGTGTCCCTGCTTCAGCAGTTTTTTTAGCGTTCATGGCTACTTTGTACAGTGATGACTGTCTCATGTTATAGCTTCAGTTCTGAGACCAGAATACAAAGTGTTGTGGGTTCTGTGTTTTGAGGAATTGGCTTATGCTTCTCCCGTTGTTGTGTTGAGGGTCATGAATAGTAATTCTGTTAGCGTTGGGGGAACTAGTCAGTCAAGAGTGTAGAGTGTGTCTTTGGGAAACCTGGGATTGGAATTCCTGAATCCTGAGTTGAACAGTTTCTTTTGCCTTTCCAGAAACTGCAAAAGTTGGCAGTTGGTTACAGAGAACATGGAACATACTATTTTTTTTTTTAAAGATTTATTCACTTATTTGAAAGTCAGAGATACACAGAGAGAGGAGAGGCAGAGAAAGAGAGAGAGAGGTCTTCCATCCACTGGCTCACTCCCCAGATGGCTGCAACGGCCAGAGCTGTGCTGATCCAAAGCCAGGAGCCAGAGCTTCTTCCTGGTCTCCCACGCAGGTGCAGGTTCCCAAAGACTTGGGCCATCTTCTACTGCTTTTGCAGGCCATAGCAGAGAGTTGGATCAGAAGTGGAGCAGCCAGGACTGGAAACGGCACCCATATGGGATGCCGGCACTGCAGGTGGCGGCTTTACTTACTATGCCACAGCACTGGCCCTGGAACATACTTTAAAAAATCTTCTAAAGCATACTCTTTACCTGTTGCTACTCAAATGAGGAGGAGGGCCTCAGTCTTAGAAATCAACTGACATCAGGGTCTTTCACCTGTGCTACATGATTACCTGGGCTTTGGACCTGGTCCTCAGAGGACTTTCAGTGCTTTAAGTGATATTTAGGCTTCTTTGTTCCTTCCACTGCTGTTCATCTGTATTGTTCTTTTCTAGGTGTCTCTGCAAACAGACTCATGGGTGGTGCCATGCAACTTACCTTCCGCAAGATGGCATTTGACTATTATCCCTTCCACCAGGCAGGTTAGGAGAATTCCTAATAGGATCAGTTTTGGTGTGGCCCAAAATACTGAGGACAGATTCCCTGGTTCCCCCCTGCCAAGTAGAGGGTGCCGGGGACTGCTGCACATGCCCAGAGAGGCATTGGGAACCCCCTCTTCAGGAGGACGTGTAGGAATTTGCGATGTCTGCTATTGATGATTCTTTATTGGCGATGAGACCCAGTGGGGGAGCGGAGGCAGTGCCTGAGGTGATGTTCTTGGTTTTATCTCAGCCCCTTACTTTCACTGGCTTTATCGCCTCTCCAGCAGTCCAGAGTCAAAGAGGGCAACAGTCAGCAGCTGGCTTTCAGGGAGCTGTAGGGGGAAACTACATATGGAATCCTGAACTTGGGAGCACTCATCGCATAACTTTTTCTTAACCCAGAGGATTCTGGACTGGGGGTGAGGGATCAGTTTCTGAACATGAATATGACTGACATAAAGTCAAAATTGGAATGTTGGTTCATCAACTTAGGTTAAAATCATTTTGCTTCTTTGTTACCTAGGTGATAGCTGCAAACACTGGGTCCGGCACTGTGAGGCCATGGAGACACGAGGCCAGTGGGCCCAGAAGCTGGTGATGGAATTTCAGAGTAAAATGGAGAAGTGGCATGAAGAGACTGGTCTGAAACCACCCTGGCACCTGGGAGTGGACTCTCCCTTCCGCAGGAAAGCAGGCAGGTTATGAGAAACTGGAGGACTGCAGGTGTTGGCCTCCTGCCATTTATCTTGACTAACTGTTGAAAATAAGCGGTGGACTAGTTAATTATCTCATTGGTGTCCCATGGAGAGGCATCAGTGAGTTTTTTCTTTGCAGAGTCCTGTGTGTCCCCAGGAATAGCTGCAATGTTGAAGAGACATTGTCATCATCTCTATTCACTCAGCTATTGTCTTGTTCTTAAGGAGAATATAATTTTCTGAGCTCCCTCCATGAGCAAGACTGTGTTAGGCTGTCTCATTTGATGTTTGGCATTCATGATCTTAGGATTTCTACTTTCCACATACTATGAATAGTGAGAGTTGAATGTATCTGATTCTCATTCCCAGTTTTTTTGTCTTTAGATTCTCTGTCCAGTCCTCGGAAGAACCTGCTTGAGAGAAGCCCATCTCAGGGCCGGCAGGCTCCCTTTCGACCCCCAGCCTGGAATCGCCTGCGCTCCAGCTGCATAGTGGTACGGGTAGATGACCTGGACATCCACCAGGTGAGGACACAGGGAAACCTGGTTGGAAATGAGTGTAATGTTCACTTGGAAGGCACCTGGAACAGTAGGAGCAAGGTGGTAGGAGTCAGGGCCTGCTAAGCTCACTTGGTGGTAGATGATTGTTCCACCTGTTTCTTCCTGAGCATGGTTGCTGAGATGAGGGCTTGGACTTCCACTTAGACTCCTCTGAATACCCTGCTGCACCTTCCTGCTGAAAACACTGACCTGCCAACGGTGTGCGGCAGTGATGAGAATGCCTGGAATGAGAGGACACTTCAATAAGTTCACGGAACACTTGAGTTAAAGATACGTTTATTTTGGTGCAAGCCATTTTTGAAATCTATGCAGAGGGTTTTTTTTTTTTTTAAGATTTATTTATTTATTTGAGAGTCAGAGTTACACAGAGAGAGAAGGAGAGGCAGAGATAGAGAGAGATCTTCCACCACAATTGGCCGCAACAGCTGGAGCTGGGCCGATCCGAAGCCAGGAGCCAGGAGCTTCCTCTAGGTCTCCCACGCGGGTGCAGGGGCCCAAGCACTTGGGTCATCTTCCACTGCTATCCCAGGCCATAGCAGAGAGCTGGATTGGAAGTGGAGCAGCTGGGACTTGAACTGCGCCCATGTGGGATGCTGGCACTGCAGGCAGTGGCTTTACCTGCTACGCCACAGCGCTGGCCCCAGTTTTCTTAATCTGCTGTTGTTATGAGCTTTTTGAGGACCTTTCATATGCATGGATTTTGAAATTTTTTACACCAGAATAAACTTACTTATTAATTCCATTGTTTAAGAACCTTTTGAAGTACCTCCAAATGTGTGACAAAACACCTTGCTCCCTGTACAGACTCGGAAAGGATGGTAGAGCTTGGTATTCCTCAGAGGAGACCGAGTTCTCTCTGGCTGCTGCTCTGGATGCTAACGTAAGTTGTAATTGCTTAGGTTTCTACAGCTGGACAGCCAAGTAAGAAGCCTTCTACACTCCTTTCCTGCAGTCGGAAACTCCACAACCTGCCCACTCAGGTCTCTGCCATTCACATTGAGTTCACGGAGTATTACTTCCCAGATAATCAGGAGCTTCCAGGTAAGCACCTGGGCTGTTTCCTCCAGGCTCTTCACATTTGTCAACCTGGAACCACCTCTTTTTTGTTTGTCTTTTAAAGATGTATTTATTTGAAAGTCAAAGACAGAGACAGATAGAGTTCTTCCATCCACTGATTCACTCCCTTAAATGGCTACCTGGTCAGGCCTGGGCCAGACTGAAGCCAGGAACAAGGAGCTTCAATCAGGTCTCCCACAAGGGTACTGGGGCCCAAGCACTGGGTCATCTTCTACTGCTTTCCCAGGTGCTTTAGCAGGGAGCTGGGTTGGAAGAGGAGCAGCTGGGACTTGAATCAGTGGCCATATAGGATGCCAGCACTGTAGGCCACGGCTTTACCCACTACATCACAGCACTGGCCCCTGGAGCCACTTATGTTCTCTTTTGTTGTTAGGAGTTGTAGATGGTCAAATTAATTTAGAACCCCTTTGTTACAAACTTTGCCCTATGTAAGTGTGTAACTTTGCTCTCCTGATGATAAAATAAATGTTAGGTGGAAAGTAAGAGTTGAGCTGCTGCTTTGTACCTGAGGATTCTTTGGTTTTCTGCTTTCCAGTTCCCTGTCCCAATCTCTATATTCAGTTAAATGGTCTGACATTTACTATGGATCCTGTCAGCTTGCTCTGGGGAAACCTCTTCTGCCTGGATTTATACCGCAGCTTGGAGCAGTTCAAAGCTATCTACAAACTGGAAGATTCAAGCCAGAAAGATGAACACTTGGATATCCGACTGGATGCCTTCTGGTTGAAGGTAGGGAGAGTGTGGGGTTTTTGTTTCCTGTTGGGAGCCACAGTTGCATTTTCCCATGGCTGTAATCCACAGTTCTGCTCTGTTCATTTGATGGAAGTCCAAACTGCCTTTCATTTACATATTAACAGTGGAGTGCTGTTACTCAGATGGCCATTGTGAATTGTTTCGTTTCTGTTGGAAGGTAAGCTTCCCGCTGCAGAAGAGAGAACGGGCAGAGTCGCATCGTCCCCAGGCCCTTGTCTTCTCAGCCTCAGGCATGATTGCTACTAATACCCGCCATGCCCCACACTGTAGCTGTCCAGATCTCCAGAGTCTCTTCAGGGGCTTTGCTGCTACTGAGTTCTTTCACTCCAGTTATGATCGCTTTCCCAAGGTTCCAGGTGGCTTCAGTCTTCTACACATGCTGTTTGTATACCATGCCTTCCAGATGGACTCCCGCCTCCCTCAGCCTAGCACACTCCCTCCCCAGAGGCCTAAGGCTTCCCAGGATCTCTGGTCCATCCGCTTCACCCAGATCTCCCTGGACTTTGAGGGAACAGAGAACTTTAAAGGCCATACTTTGAATTTTGTGGCCCCCTTTCCTTTATCCATTTGGGCCTGCCGCCCCCACCGCTGGGAGCAAGCCCAGGCACGGAAACTCCTCTTGGCCTCAGAGGGGAGGCTGAGACCATCTGCCAGCTTCGGCAGTGCGGTCCAGGCTGAGGCCCTTGCCCCTGACTCTGTGTCCCAGCAGAGGTCAAGGACTGAGCATGATCTGAAAAGCTTGTCAGGACTCGCAGAGATTCTGAGAGAAGGTGCTGGTGTGGAGAGCACGGGGCCCCTGGCAGAGCTCGAGGACGCAGCAGACATGCACGTGCTTGTGCACGCCCCTGCCCACGTCTGCCTGAGGCTTGACCACTACCAGTACTTGGCTCTGCTCCGCCTGAAGGAGGTGCTGCAGGGGCTGCAGGAGCAGCTGACGAAGGATACGGAGGCCATGACCGGCTCTCCCCTGCAGGACCAGACAGCTTGCGTTGGCGTCCTCTTCCCCAGCGCGGAGGTGGCTCTTCTCATGCAGCCTGCCCCGGGGACTGTTGATGCTGACTCTGCAGGTTCGGATACTACCAGCCTCATAGATTCAGAGCTGTCCCCTTCAGAGGATCGGGAACTCAAGTCTGATGCCTCTTCAGACCAGGGCCCAGCAAGCCCGGAGAAGGTCCTGGAGGATGGAAACACTGGAAATCAGGATGCATCCCAGGAGAGGCCACAGAGCGATGGAGAGCTGCAGGCCTTGGACCCTCTGGCACAGCAGATGACAGGGAAGGGCCACGAGGCAGTCGAGTCCCTGCAGGCCAAGACACTGAGCAGAGCCCAGGCCTCTAGTTCAGCAGCCGTGCTGAAGCCCCCAGCTGCCAGGGATCCGGCAGTGAATGGACAAGGTGAACTCATCCCCTTGAAGAACATTGAGGGAGAGTTGTCAAGTGCTATCCATATGACCAAGGATGCCACCAAGGAGGCTCTGCATGCCACCATGGACCTCACCAAGGAGGCTATGTCCCTGACCAAGGATGCCTTCAGTCTGGGAAGAGATCGGATGACCTCCACCGTGCACAAGATGTTGTCCCTGCCTCCAGCCAAGTGAGTGCTTCTCTGCCTCCCGCAGTCATCTCTTCGCTTCCTCCTAGTTCTGACATGTGCATTTTAGATTGGCAAGCACCTATAGTCCAGGAGAATGCATGGAATGGCCTACTCAATCAACATTTATTTTTTCTTAGAATCAGATCATGCTCCCTTTCACTGACTCACTACTATTGAATATGCTGTTGGTGAACAGTAATACTTGGCATCTGTCTAGTACGCTTTTCAGAGGCCTTTTTTTTTTTATTTAACAGTTTTTTGTTCAAATTGATCTGCACAGCAGTCTAGTAAAGTAGCTATAGACATTTCTATTCTGAACTTATGGTTGAGGAAACAGGCCTCAGGGGGGTTGAGCCCATGGGTCCTGACTTTGTATCTTGTAAATAAAAAAGCTGGGGCTTTGAATTTCTAGCATGCCTTATCAGTGACTGCCAGGGAAACAGAAGGATTTCATTCTTTTGTTCAACAATTTTTTTTTTTTTTGAGTCCTTACTGAGAGCTAAGCTCTGTGTTAAACCCTGGAGATACAGGGAGGGAGTAAGCAGAAAAACACTGAAATGCACTGTTAGGAGAGTGCAGAAGTATGGATTTTCTCATGGATGCCTGGGGTTTTAGGAAAGATAATGAGGCTGGTGCCGTGGCTCAATAGGCTAATTCTCCGCCTTGCGGCGCCGGCACACTGGGTTCTAGTCCCAGTTGGGGCGCCAGATTCTGTCCCGGTTGCCCCTCTTCCAGGCCAGCTCTCTGCTGTGGCCCGGGAGTGCAGTGGAGGATGGCCCAAGTGCTTGGGCCCTGCACCCCATGGGAGACCAGGAGAAGCACCTGGCTCCTGGCTTCGGATCAGCGCGATGCGCCGGCTGCAGCGTGCCAGCCGCGGTGGCCATTGGAGGGTGAACCAACGGCAAAGGAAGACCTTTCTCTCTGTCTCTCTCTCTCTCACTGTCCACTCTGCCTGTCAAAAATAAAAAAATAAAAGGAAAGATAATGAAGACTTAGGGAAATCTTTGCAGGAATACTTTGTGCTTTAGAAAAGCAATGATTTCAGAGCTTTTGTCTAAATGAGATGAATTAAAAATGAGTCTCTAAGCAATGCCTGTGGGTGTGCTGGTTTATCAGCTGTGATAGGCAGTATGTTAATACTAGCCGACCTTTTACTGACTGCTTTCTGTGCGGCAGGCCCTGTGCTAATTCAATACTTACCCACTGAATTCTTGCAACGGCCTCCTAAGATAGCTCCTAATATCACCCCCATTTTACACGTGAGGAAACTCAGCATAAGCAGTTTGCTCAAGATCCTACAACATGGGAGTGGTGGTGTGAGCGCTGAAGGCCTAGCTCCTCCTCACCAAATGTGCTGCCTTGGTAAATGGAGATAAGCAGCGGGATGGAAAAAGAGAAGGGAAAAAGAGAAAGGAAAGGTGTGTGACGCACGCTCTTTTAATACATCAGTAATAACTTCCTAACTGCCCCAGCTGCTGGTTTTTCTTGGTCCTCCTTCTTCTGGACCTGTTTGTGGCAGCTAAATGCCATTGAATCCTTCTGAGCATTTGTAGTTAACCCCACCCACTTACTCTCACTTCTCTGAAAGCATATTCTCTTTCTCCTTGGCCATTCTCTTCTTTGATCCGAAAAATGTAAATAATGTAAGTATTCCATAGGGCTAGGCCATCTCTATTCTAATCACTTTTCTCTTAGTTGTTATTTTTTAAATTATAAAAATGAGTTGTGCTCATTGTATTATCAGTGTAGGAAATAGAATAGAGAAGAAGATGTAGAGATCGCTTACCTGTTTGTGGTTCTGGCTTTAGCTTCTGACTGCAGCTTCCTGCTAGTGCTGGCCCTGGGAGTTGGCCATGGTAACTGAGTAACTGGGTTCCTGCTACCGTGCGGGAGACCTGACTTGAGTTCCCTGTTCTGGTGTCTGCCCCAGTTCTGTCCTGGCTGTTGTGCACATCTTGGGAGAGAACCAGTAGTTGGGAGCTCTCTCTCTGTCTGTTTCTGACTTTCTTTATCTCTCAAATCAATCAACCAACCAACAAACGAAGCCAATCTTTGGGAAAGAGAAACTAAATTCCTTATCTCTTCTTTTGATAATAACATTCACCCATTCATCCAAGCTCTTCGTTTTAGCTCTTTGCCTCTTAAGTTTGCTTGTTGTGTTCTGACCATAATTCCTGAATCAGTGGTTCTCAGATTTGAATGTGCGTCCGAATCACTGAAGCTTGTAAAGCACAGAGTGCTGCATCCTACCTGTGGAGTTCCTCGTTCAGGGGGCTGAGCTAGGCCTGAGAATCCCATCTGCGTGTCTAACAGGCTGTCTGTTGCTGCTGACCTCCTGCCAGGCCCACATGTTACGAATACTGCTCTAGGGAATCTCGAATCGGTTTTTCCTGTCTGTTCCCGTAAGTGCACTGTTTTAGTGAACTCTTAATTGATTCCTGCATTGGAGATCTATTCCTCTCTAACTTGTTTGGGAAAGCCAGGGCAAACTTCCTGAAACACAGGAGTGGTCTTATGATTTCCCAACTGCCAAACCCTTCATCTGTTTCCTTATCCCCACTGAATTGAGACATAGTCAGTTAAGATGCATCCATGTGGCTGGCATTTTACAGTTTTCAAAGCATTTTTTTTGACAGGCAGAGTGAGAGGGAGAGAGACAGAGAGAAAGGTCTTCCTTCCGTTGGTTCACCCCCTAAATGGCTGCTACGGCCGGCGCACTACGCCGATCTGAAGCCAGGACCCAGATGCTTCCTCCTGGTCTCCCATGTGGGTGCAGGGCCCAAGCACTTGGGCCATCCTCCACTGCACTCCCGGGCCACAACAGAGAGCTGGACTGAAAGAGGAGCAACTGGGACAGAATCCGGCGCCCCAACCGGGACTAGAACCTGGGGTACCGGCACCACAGGCGGAAGATTAGCCCAGTGAGCCATGGCGCCAGCTCAAAGCATTTAATACATAGTCTCTACACAAGGTTTTCTATAACCTGGCTGCAACCCGTGTGGTAAAGTGAGCAAACACCTAATGGGAAGTTAGTAGACTTGGGCAGTTGATAATTCCACCTGGAAGTGTAAGCTTGTGTTAGTTTCTTCATCTGTTCAGTGGGAAGGTAGCATTAAGGGGTCCTTAAAGGCTTCCTTTCACTGTGCTTTGTTTTTCTAACTTTTTTATATAAAGATTTATTTATCTACTCGAGAGGCAGAGCTATACACAGAGGGAGAGACTAAGAGTAAGAGAGAGGTCTTCCATCTGCTGGTTCACTCCCCGAATGGCTAAAACGGCCAGAGCTGGGCCTATCTGAAGCCAGGAGCCTAGAGCTTCTTCTGGGTCTCCTACGCAGGTGCAGGGGACCAAGGTCTTGGGGCCATCTTGTACTGTTTTCCCAGGCCATAGCAGAGATCTGGATTGGAAGAGGAGCAACTGGGACTTTAACCAGTGCCCATATGGGATGCTTGTGCCACAGTCGGATGCTTAACTTACTACGCCATGGTGCTGGCCCCTATAACTTTATCTTCTATTGCTTTTCTCAGCAGAAAGTACTCCAGCTGGGCCAGCTACTTAATAGTCTTTTAGGGTACTTTCTGTTTCTGATTCTTGGCCTCTGTGCTGTTTTTCCCTGTAGAATACTCTCTCTCCCTCTCTCTCCCTTTCTCTTCTTCTCTCTCCCTCTCTCTCCCTCTCTCTTCCTCTCTCTCCTTCCCTCTCCTTCCCTCTATCCCCCCCCCTCCCTCCTAGTCCTTCAAAGCCCATCTCAAGTGCCAAATCCTTTCACACAGCCATTCCCCACCCCCCCCAAGATTTATTTATTTATTTATTTGAAAGAGTTACATAGAGAGAGGGGAGACAGAGAGAGGTCTTCCATCCTCTGGTTTACTCCCCAGTTGGCTGCAATGGCCAGAGCTGCGCTTATCTGAAGCCAGGAGCCAGGAGTTTCTTCCTGGTCTCCCACACAGGTGCAGGGGCCCAAGTACTTGGGCCAACTGCCACTGCTTTCCCAGGCCATAGCAGAGAGCTGGATCTGAAGAAGAGTAGCCAGGACTCGAACTGGCATCCATATGGGATGTTGGCACCACCAGCAGCGGCTTTACCTGCTACACCACAGTGCTGCCCCCCCGCCCCCCAGCCACTCTTCATCCTCTTCTCATTAGCCTCTGGCCTGTGTGGCTTACTCCCATTTAATGTTATGTGTGAATAAATCTCTCCCAATAGAGTCAAATTATTTGAGACAGGGAATGTCTTCTTCTTCAGTGTACCCATCCCCATCCCTCTCTCATGTTGGTAGGGAGTCTTACATACAGGAGCTATTGAGTGAAGAGTAGGGGGCTTCAGAAAGTTTGTGGAAAATGTAAGGATCCTCCTGCCTACACACACCATGTCATGTAAAGCACCAGTCTGTACTCAGAAGGATGGACAGCCAGTGACCTACTGGACCTGGGCGGGAAAGAAAGGTCAGGCGTTGTCTTTGTGTTGCTGTAGCCAAAGGATCCATTGAGTGGGTTTCATGACAGCCATCCGCCTGTACAGGGGGAGACTGCTGCTGGTGGGAGGGGAATCATCAATGGATGGGGGGGCGCAGGCTTAGGAAATGGTGACAGGAGACTCCTGTCACAGAGGGGTTTGAATAGATTTTTAATTTTCATAATGTGAATCTTCAACCTTTACATTAAAACTTAAAATATGAAAAAAAAAAGAAAATGTAAGGAAAATATTTGGGACTTTTCCATGAACTTTTGGAGGCCCCTTTGTACTTGTGCCAATGAATATGAATGGCTTCAGGTACCATTCAGCCATTCATCAGCACCAGGGTCTCTTCTGTGTATAGAATGACCCTGAATAACTTTGATACTTAATGTTAACCGTTTATGCAGTTAAAAGTACCCAAGTAAGGATTCAGAAAGGTCAGCAATTGAAAAATGACTTCATCCCTTTATACAGCACATTTGTGTGCATAGTAAATGAGCAGAAGGGGGAGGGAATGGGAGCAAACGTACCCCCAAAGCCCTGTTTGTCGTTTTTGTTTTCATTTTTCCCAACAGGGAGCCCATGGCCAAGACAGAAGAGGGGGTGGCAGCCCCAGTGGGTGGAGGCGCTGCCCGACTCCGGTTTTTCTCCATGAAGAGGACCATGTCTCAGCAGTCATTTGATGGCGTCTCATTGGATAGCAGTGGCCCTGAAGACCGGATCTCAGTGGATAGTGATGGCAGTGACAGCTTTGTGATGCTCCTGGAGGCTGGTACGTGGGAACAGAGCCAGGCAGAGCTGCAGAGGCTGGGAAGGGTTCTCTCCACTGCCCGTGTTCAAGAGGAGCTAAGATTTCATAATAACAGGCATTTCCTTAATCAGAACCGAAAAAAAAGAAATTTGAGTGGATTTGTGACTCTGGCTTTATTTCCATATCCTAGATTATTGGTAATACTTGACCTTTATCACAGAAAGATTTAAATCAAATCTACAACAATAGGATTAGTTTTGTGGTTGGTCTCAGTGTTGCATATGTTGATTTTTTATATGTATTTTATTGTTGGAAAATAACTATGAGCCATTTGTCTATTGATAAAATAAGTAACTGTTAAGAATTAAATCAGTCAGTTGTGAAGTTATATTGTTCTTTGAGCTAATAGAAATAGAAACTTACATGATCCTTTAAGATTATCTAAAGAGGGAATGTATTTCCTTTCTATTTTTTTTTTAATTTTTTTTTTCTTTGACAGGCAGAGTGGACAGTGAGAGAGAGAGAGACAGAGAGAAAGGTCTTCCTTTGCCGTTGGTTCACCCTCCAATGGCCGCCGCGGCCGGCACGCTGCAGCCGGCGCACCACGCTGATCCAATGGCAGGAGCCAGGAGCCAGGTGCTTCTCCTGGTCTCCCATGGGGTGCAGGGCCCAAGCACTTGGGCCATCCTCCACTGCACTCCCGGGCCATAGCAGAGAGCTGGCCTGGAAGAGGGGCAACCAGGACAGAATCCGGCGCCCCGACCGGGACTAGAACCTGGTGTGCCGGCGCCGCAAGGCGGAGGATTAGCCTAGTGAGCCGCGGCGCCAGCCTCCTTTCTATTTTTTTATTGTATATTGACAAATTGTAATCATATATACTTGTCGGATATTGAGTGATGCTACATGTAGACAGTATATAATTTTTGATTCAAGCTAACATATCCATCATTTCAAGCACTAGGCGTTTATTCTTCCTGTGCAGCTGAAACATCGTGCCCTCTGACCAACGTCTTCCCATCTCCCCTGCTCCCCAGCTCCTGGCACCCATCATTCTGCTCTCTGCTTCTCTATGTTCAGTTGTTTTGGATAGATTTAGATTTAGAACAGGTAGTTTTGTCTTTCTGTGCCTGATTTATCCCATTTAGTATAATGTCCTTGAAGCTCATCCATATTAGTATTAATGACACATTTGGAATTAGTATTCCATTGTGTACATACATTTTCTTTTTAAAAATTGTACTTATTTAAAATTTTTATTTCATTTTTTAATTTGAAACAGAGAGGAAGAGAGGAAGGGAGGGGCAGAAGGAAAGAGGAATCGCCTGTTCTCTGGTTTAGTCCCCAAAGCCTGCAACTGCTAGAGCTGCGCAAAACCAAGGCTGAGATTGGGTCTTGCGCATGGGGTGCAGGGATCCAAGCATTTGAGCCATCACACTGCCGCCTAGGGTGTGTATGAGCAGGCGGCTGAAGCTGGGAGCTGGGACGCAAGCCCAGGTACTCTCATATGAGGTGCAGGCTCCCCAAGTGGCATTTTTTTTTTAAGATTTATTTTATTTATTTGAAAGACAGAGTTACAGAGAGAGGTAGAGACACACAGAGAGAGTTCTTCTCACTGATGTTTTACTCCTCAAATGGCCACAATGACTAGAGCTCAGCCAATCTGAAGCCAAGAGCCAGGTGCTTCTTTCAGGTCTCCCACGTGGGTGCAGGGGTCCAAGGACTTGGGCCATCTTCTGCTGCTTTCCCAGGTGCAGTAGCAGGGAGCTGGATTGGAAGTGGAGCATCTGCGACCTGAACCTGGTGCCTACATGGGATGCTGGTGCTGCAGGCTAAGGCTTTAACCCACTGCATCACTCCCACCCCTGCAAGTGGCGTCTTAACCACCACACCAAACATGCATCCCTCCCACATTTCTTTAGCCGTTCATTGGTTGAGGGACACCTAAATTCATTCCCTAACTTGGCTATGTGGATAGTGCTGTAATAAATACAGGAATACAAATGTCTCTTAGATATACTAGTTTCAGATACTTTGGATATATACCCAGAAGTAGAATTGCATAATGTATTCAATAATGGTGGTACTGAATTTACATTCCTTCAGCCTTATTCCAGGATTTTCTTTTCTCCATAGCTTCACCAACACTTATCATTTTTCATCTTTTTGATAATAGCCATATCTCATTGTTATTTTAAGAGAATGGGTGGCATGTACTCGTGGTGCATTTTTATTTGTCATTATTTTTAACCTCTTAGGGAAATTTTCAGATATGCATTACAGTATCAAATAGTGAGCCCTCATATACCCATTACCTGGCTTCAACATGGAGAACTCAAGGCTGTTCTTCAGATACATTGCTGCCCACCTTTCTTCATCCCATAACACCTTGAAGTAAATCCCAAACATTCCTGTTTATCCATAAATATTTTCAATTGCGTGTTGCTAGAAAATGTAAACTGAAAATGTTTTTTAAAAATTGCCGTGAAATACACATGAATCTTATCATCTTAGCCATTTTTAAGTATGTAGTCGAGTGGCCTAAAGGCCATTATCATTGTTGTGCAGCCACCATGAGCACCATCTCCAGGACTCTTTCCATTTTGCAAAACTGAAACTCTGTACCAGTTAAACACTTAACTCTCCATGCCTTCCTCCTCCAGCTCCTGCAACGCTGTTCTACTTTCGGCCTATAAATTTCAGTATTTTATGTTCCTTATTTAAATGAAGTCATACAATATGCCTCTCCATTTTCTTTTCTTTTCTTTTTTTTTTTTTTAAGATTTATTTATTTACTTGAAAGTCAGAGTTACACACAGAGAGAAGGAGAGGCAGAGAGAGAGAGAGAGAGAAAGAGAGAGAGAGATAGAGAAAGAGAGAAAGAGAGGTCTTCCATCCTCTGGTTCACTCCCCAGTTGGCCACAATGGCCAGAGCTGTGCCGATCTGAAGCCAGGAGCCAGGAGCTTCTTCCAGGTTTCCCACATGGGTACGGGGGCCCAAGGACTTGGGCCATCTTCCACTGTTTTCCCAGGCCATTAGCAGAGAGCTGGATCAGAAGTGGAGCAGCCGGGACTTGAACCAGTGCTCATATGGGATGCTGGCACTGCAGGCAGTGACTTTACCTGCTATGCCACAGCCCCGGCCCCTTCCATTTTCTTAAGATTTATTTATTTATTTATTTGAAGGCAAAGTTAGGGAGAGACAGAGAGAGAGAGAGATTGATTTTCCATCCACTGGTTCAGTCCCCAAATGTCCATAATGGTTGAAGCCGGGCCAATCAAAACCCAGGAGCTTTTTCCAGATCTCCCACGAGGGTGGTAGGGGCCCAAGCACCTGGGCCATCCTCCACTGCTTTCCCAGTCACATTAGAAGGGAGCTGGATCGAAAGTAGAGCAGCCTGGACTAAAACTGGAGTCCCTATGGGATGCTGGTGTTGTAGGTGGCAGCCCTACTTGCTTGGCCACAATGCTGGCCTTGTGCCTCTCTGTTTGTGATATTCTACTTAGTATAATGTTCTTAAGGTTCTGTGTTGCCAGCATATGTCCAAATTTCCTTCCTTTTTAAGACTAAATGATGTCCCATAGTGTGTGTGTATCATATTTTGTTTATCCATTTGTCCTTCAAAGGACACTTGGATTGTTTCCATTTATAGATTTGTTGAAATGTGACCAAAACCATTATCACACTTTTAAAACCTAACAGTAGGGGCTGAAGCACCTGGCTCCTGGCTTCAGATGGGCTCAGCTCCAGCCATTGTGGCCATTTGAGGAGTAAAATATCAGTGAGAACTCTCATTGCTTGCAGTGTCGGCATCCCATATAGGTGCCAGTTTGAGTCCCAGCTGTTCCACTTCTGATCCAGCTCTCTACTATGGTCTTGGAAAGCAGTAGAGGATGGCCCAAGTCCTCAGGCCCCTGCACCTGCATAGGAGACCCAGAAGAAGCTCCTGGCTCCTGGCTTTAGATCAGCGCAGCTCCAGCTGTTGTGGCCATCTCGGGAGTGAACCAGCAAATCGAAAACCTCTCTCTCTCTCTCTCTCTCTCTCTCTCTCTCTGCTGCTGCCTCTCTGTAACTCTGCCTTTCAAATAAAGAAATAAATCTTTTTTTTTTTTTTTTTTTTTTTTTAACAGGCAGAGTGGACAGTGAGAGAGAGAGACAGAGAGAGAAAGGTCTTCCTTTGCCGTTGGTTCACCCTCCAATGGCCGCCGCTGCAGCCGGCGCACCGCGCTGATCCTGGCAGGAGCCAGGAGCCAGGTGCTTTTCCTGGTCTCCCATGGGGTGCAGGGCCCAAGCACCTGGGCCATCCTCCACTGCACTCCCTGGCCATAGCAGAGAGCTGGCCTGGAAGAGGGGCAACCGGGACAGAATCCGGCGCCCCAACCGGGACTAGAACCCGGTGTGCCGGCGCCGCAAGGTGGAGGATTAGCCTATTGAGCCACGGCGCCGGCAAGAAATAAATCTTTAAAAAAAAAAAGCAACTAACAATACTCAGGGATTTCCTGTGTTACCCCCCATAAATATGTATAATTTTTATGTGCTAAAGATAATTTTATAATTTTAAAACAATTAAAAAACAATTCATTAAATCCATCTAATATGTAGTCTTCAGTTTCTAGTTGTCTCATAAATGTTTTGATAATTGTTGTTTTTAGAGATTATATTTGAACAGAAATTTCTGACTTTTGGACTTTTTTACCATCTTTCTCATACAGAGTCTGGTCGAGAATCTGTACCACCTGGCTCACTTCCCAGTGTCCTGGATGATGCCGGAGTTCAAGGCAGCCCTGTTGTGGATAATTCTGGCCAGGGGTCATCAGAAGCCAATAGTTCGGTCTCACCCAGTGGGGAAGACCTCATCCTTCAGCCGGTCAGCTGCTTCACTTTATTCTCTGCAGAGGGTTGGCTCCGGGCTGGAAGCTTGAGACTCAGAGCTAAATCTCCTTTGACAGGTCTCAGTCCTGGTCCTGAAGGTGAATGAGGTGTCTTTTGGGCTTGAGGTACGTGGTGAAGACCTGACTGTAGCCCTACAAGCAGAGCAACTGAGCCTTCAGCAGCTGGGCACCGTGGGACTCTGGCAGTTCCTGCATGGGCAGTGCCCAGGTGAGGACAGTGGCCATCCCACGAGGGCCGGTGGGATTCATGTTGGGAAGCCATAGGTAACTGACACCTGTCACTGTGTCACTGTGCCCTAAGAGGCAACTGTGCTAGTTCAAGCCCTTGGTGTATCTCTTCAGCAGCCATTAGGGGGAGGAAAAACTCCAGTGATGTTCCTCTTGCAAGGAGCCTCTTGAGCATTGTGGGGCTTATTCATTCGGGCTATTGTCCATCTTCCATTCCCGGTACTTCCTGAGTTTCTACAAGGACAATGTGCACATCTTTATGTGTGGCTGCTGGTTTAAAACTATCTGGGGGCTGGCCCTGTGGCATAGTGGGTAAAGCTGCCACCTGCAGTGCTGGCATCCCATATTGGTGCCGGTTCAAGTCCTGGCTGCCCCACTTCCACTCCATCTCTCTGCTATGGCCTGGGAAAGCAGTGAAAGATGACCCAAGTGCTTGGACCCCTGCACCCATGTGGGAGACCTGGAAGAAACTCCAGGCTCCTGGTTTTGGATCAGCCCAACTCCAGCTGTTGCGGCCACTTGGAGAGTGAACCAGCGGATGGAAGACTTCTCTGTCTCTCTGCCTCTCTGTAACTCTGCCTTTCAAATAAATAAGTCAGTCTTTAAAAAAACCAAAACTGTATCTGGTTAGGGATTCATATTCAGTCTTTTGATGTTAATCATTTCTACTGTTTAGATGACAGGAAAAACTGGGTTCATATTACATGCTTCATTAAAAATTATTTTAAAATATTGAGTAGATATTAAATATTAGTTATAAAATACATATAAAGCATAAAATGATAATAATATGACTCCATGTATCCACCTCCTAATTTAATAACTTCAACATACCATTATTATTGAAGTCCTTGGAGTCACGCTCTCACACCTTCCCTATTGTAGGTAACCACTATCCTGAATCTTGTGTTCATTATACTCTTGCTTTGCTTTTAATTTTTTCACATGTGTTTGTCTGAAATGTGTTAGGTAGCTTTTGCAATTTTTTTAGTTTTCCTAAGTAGAGCCATAATTTGTACTATTTTGTGGTTAGTTTCTTTCATGAAACACAATATTCTCGAAATTCTTTTAAGTTGTTGAGTTAGCTGGAATTCATTCTTACTACTGTATAATATTCTATTTAAATATGCTTTTTAAATTGAGGTATAATTTGCATGGTATAAACTTCACTCATTTAAAAAAAATTTTTTTTTAATTTACTTGAAAGGCAGAGTTACAGAGAGAGGGAGAGAGAGAGAGGTCGTCCATCTGCTGGTTTACTCCCCAAATGGCCACAACGGCCAGGCCCAGGTCAGGCCAAAGACAGGAGCCCAGAGCTTCTTCTGGGTCTCCCATGTAGGCACAGGGGCCCAAGCACTTGGGCCATCTTCTGCTGTTTTCCCAGGTGCATTAGCAGGGAGCTGGATCAGAAGTGGAGCAGCTGGGTCTTCAGCCAGTACCTACATGGGATGTGGGTGTCGCAGGAGGAGGTTTAACCTGCAATACCACAACCTGGCCTCAAACTTCACTCATTTTCAGTGTGAAATGTGATACAGTTTAGTGAATATACAGAGTTGAAAACCCATCATTACAACTCGAATGTAGAACATTTCTACCATCCTCCAAATATCTCTTGTACTCATTACTCTGTCTGCCTCTCCAGTGTATTCTGAACAGACCCTTGGGTTGTTTCTGGGTGTTTTGCCATTTCAGATCAGGTTGCTGTGAATATCCTTCTGTGTGTCTCCTGGTACACATGTTGTAGAGTTTTTCCAGGGTGATATTCCTGAGGCTATAATTTCTAGATCATCTGTATAGGTATAGCTTTAACTTTACTAGTAAAGATAATGCCAAATTGTTTCCCAAAGTGGTTGTACCAATTTACAGTTCCATAAATATTTGAGTTGTCCAATATCCTTGGCTGAACCTAAGATTGTTCTTTATGGAGTTTTAGAGAGAGAAGCATAGATCCTACTTGGCTTTATCAGCAAGAGATGAGAAGAATAAGCCTTCTGCACAGAAAGCAAGAGACATTCAAATTAGTAAGACCAAGCATCCTGTTAGGACCTTTCCCTTGGCTACCAGCCCAGCCTCATGTTGTTGGTCCCTAACCTCTGTTCCACTAGAAGAGGCATCAGAGAGAAGTGGTGAGCCGTGGACTTTGTGTCAGCCTGCCTGGCTTCGGATCCTGTTCTTGCTCTTTGCTAACTTTGTAACTTTGAGCAGCATATTCTCTGCGATGTAGTTCACTCACCTGTAAGATGGTGGTGATGGCGATTCTTTTGGCATATGCTTGTTATGAGTACTAACGACATGAAGTGCTTAGATCAGTCCCTGGCTGCTAGTTCAGTAACGCTTTCCTTGGCATTCCTTCTCCTAGGCACAAGCTTTCAGGAATCCTCCACCTTGAAGACTGACCACATCAGACCAGCTGTGGGCCTTCGCTTTGAGGTGGGGCCTGGTGCAGCTGTTCACTCCCCGCTGGCTGCACAAAATGGCTTCCTGCATTTCTTGCTTCAAGGCTGCGATGTTGAGCTGCTCACGTCGGTGCTCAATGGCCTGGGGCCCTTCCTGGAAGATGAGGAGATCCCAGTGGTGGTCCCCATGCAGATTGAGCTCCTGAACTCCAGGATCACCCTAAAGGTGAGGGGATCCCACGGGTTTTGCCCTGGACTAGGCGAGGAGTTCTGGCAGAGACAGCTGTTCAGCTTTGCCCTTGTCACAGTAAAGTGTGGTGAGGATCCAGTGAGGAAATGCGTAGTAGCATCCTCTTTCAGTGTCCCAGTAAGATATCCATGTGTGTTGCTGTGAGGGAGGCCTGAATTCAGGTGAGCAGACCTTGACTCTAATGGTAACCCTGTCCTTGTCCTCAGCCTATCACATCTTCAGTTTCACTCATGTAGTATGGGGGACACTATTAAGTCTCATACCTTGCAAAATGTATGGAAAAACAATAGAAGAAAACTGCTCAGAGCTGAGTGGTGGAAGCGCAGGTCACATTACCTCCACCGCTGTGAGCTAGTTGGGAGCTTCATGTGGTTTCCCTCTTCCCTGCAGGATGATATTCCCCCCATCTATCCAACGTCTCCAGGCCCTCTGCCCATCACTGTGGCCATGGAGCACATTGTGCTGAAGCGGAGTGATGACGGTGTGTTCCACTTAGGCGGTGAGTTGGGCTTTCCAGTCTCCTGGCCTCAGCCTTTTCCCCGCTGTAAGTGAAGAGATGACAACTGGGAACTGGCTGGTGGTGGCAGCAGTTTGTCACTTCCAATTTTACTTTTTTTTCCAGCTGCTGCTCAAGACAGACCACCAGCTGAAGTACCTAAAAGTGAGAAGAGGCAGCCCCCCAAAGAACAGGTGTTTCTCATGCCCACAGGAGAGGTTTTTGGACAGCAGGTGAGGACCTAACTGACCAGTACCTTCCCATAAATCCTTAGGGACTGTCATTGTGGAAGCTGGAAAACCCAGAGGGCTGTGTATTGCTGGTGGTTTGGGTTCCTGTCACCTAGCAGTAGTTTCTAGAAGTGTTAACTAGAGGATGTAAGTCAGGAGCTGGAGGGGCAGAGTTGCTGATCACACACTCCGTCTGTTGATGTCCATGCAACCGACGAACACTCAAGTGGGAAGCAGTCTTAGAAAAGATCTAGTTGAGTTCTCTTGATCACTGGCCTAACTTAAAGACTGCTGAGCTTGAATTCTTCCCCCGTTACCCTTACCGCCTGCCATGGCAAGGTGGCACGACCATGAGCTTTAACTGTGAACTACTTATTGCTTCCTAGGTGCAAGAACTGCCCACCCTACAGAAAGAGCTTGAAGAAACTAAACAAGCCCTGGCCAGTGCCAACCAGGATAAAGAAAGACTTCTTCAGGAGATTAGGAAATATAACCCCCTCTTTGAGCTCTGATGGCAGTGGCTCAGCCATCTGTATCACCGAGAGAGGAGATCACCAGCAATAGCACCACCTAGGTCAGAAGGCGACGTCTGGTGTTTGAGTACATCTGCCAAGGATGCAGAGCACCTGTGGGCGGGCGTGCTCCTTACCGGCTGTTGTGATTCGGATGGAGGACACGGCTAAGCATGGCCGCGTCCCAGGAAACTAGGAGTAGCTCTGGGTGGCTCGCGCATCATGGCTTGCCTGTACAAAGCCTTTTGGCCTTCTGCGTACTAGGTGGCATCTTCTCGACATGATAGGGCCATTTCACCTCCTCGTTTCATGTCAGAGACATTTCCTTCCTTTGCAGCCTGTGTGAACAAGTGGAAAGTACCCACCTCCTCAGTGGCCCACAGAGTTACCAAAGAGTCAGTGTCCCAGAGCTTCCCATAGCAGGCCTGAGAAGTCCTCGACTTAAGCTTTGCCTAGTGAGGGGGGCCGGGGAGCAGGAAAGGCACAGGAACAAGGGAGCCCGGGACTCTCCTTTTGTGAGAGGGGATCCAACTCCTGTCATCTGGGCAGAGGGTCAGGCTTCCTGTTATACTTTCATCATCATGGTGCTGTGATAGTAGAAAGTAAACAACAGCAGTAGCTCAGTTCTATCATCCTTCCTCCGTTAAAGTCTATTTGAAATTTAAGTCAAGGAGTCTCCCTGAGCTGGGTTGAAGGCATGATGTGGTAGGGTTAAGCAGGGAAACTTGATTCTGCGCCCCCTCCACTTGCCCACCTACAGCTTTGCCCCTCTTCCACCATTGCACCCGAGGGGTTACTTCCTGTTCCTCTGGGGCCCTGGCACATCTGCGTTCTCAGCACTGTGATTTCCCAACAGTGCTCTCCTTAGCACTGGCTGGTTTGGAAACTAAAAATGTGCTTTAAGTTTAAAAATCTTAACCTGATGCTTCTTCTCCCCCTCTCATATAAAATCATGTAATTGTAACTTAAGAAAACAAAACCCTTCAACCTTTATAGGTTTTGTCCCCGTCCCCATAAAAGAGAGTAATTTCTCCTCTTTCTTTCCTATCCAACTCCAACTCTGTTTCATCCCTTCTGCTCTGTTGTACACTCCAAGCTGTGTTGATTGCACAGAAGTTCATCAGCTGACTCCTCTTGACTCGGCAAGATGGTAAAATAATAATTTATTGATATCAGTAAAGTCTTCATCATACATGAGTTATTGGAGGAAATATAAAGTGGTTTCTTTCAGAGGAAACCATGCTCAGCTTGTGTATTCTAGTTTTCTGAGGGTAAAAAGAAACAAGCATTCATGAAGAAACAAGATCTAATCTGTTCAGATTTGTAAAGGACTTTGGCCAACTGTTTCCACCAAGGCAAATTTGAAAACTGCTATTATGTGACTGTGGGTATCTGTCACATTTAGAAACCAACCTAGAGACTTAAGAATAAAGAAACGTCATTCTGGAGATAATGTTAGCAGGGGAAGTTCCAGGGGTTGGTGCTTAGTTCAGCCTTATGTAATATTTTGTAAGTGACTTGAAAGTAAGATTTTACAATGAAATCAAATGTCACTACTTTCTGGAAGTTAAATATAGACCAGAAGAGACTTAAAAATGCAAAACCAGAGCAAGGTCACAAGAAGCAGGCCCGTGAAAGCTCAGAATAGCAACAGATGAGGCCCAGCATCCAGAGCGGAAGCATTGTCAGGTGATGTGGCAGAGAGCACTTTCAGAGCTCCAGAAACGGAAGTGCTGTCAGGAGGCGGCGGCTTCAGTGCTGCTCTGAACAGAAGTCTGACTGCTCTTTGGGTTCATCAGGAAGGATGCTGGGAGACAGTGGCCAAAACAGCACCCCTGCAAAACCATGTTGTGTCTCAGATTATCTGTGCCTTTCTAGAGACCTCATAAACTCTATGGGGTAGCTAGGGAGAGTCTGAAGACCACAGAAGCTCCCAGGGGGCAGATGTACTTCTTTATGAAGACACATCTTTGAAGCGTAGACTCTCGTTCTGCAAGGATGAAAGCTGAGGGGAGTGTTAATCCAATAACTATCCAGTCATGAGCAAGGAGCTGGTCCTGCAGTGCTAGCTCCAGGGCTCTACCTCACAGCCTGGGGTAAAACGAAGCACTTCCTGTGGCGAGGCAGAAACATGTCCTCCACGTGTACACATGCGTAAGATGGCTTAAGAGGAATCCTTGTATGATGACCTCCCACTAGGAATTAGAGAAAACTAGGGCTACTTTGTGATGCACAACTGAGGTGACTGTCCCTCTGCAGGCTGCCCGTCAGTGCTTTTGAACGCTCAACCAAGGAGACCACTGGTTCTCCCCGGGATGGCAGTTCTAATGTCTAATGTCCTTGAGAGGAGGGAGATCCAGTAAGCAGGAAGTAGAATTATTCGACCCTAAGTTCACCTGAGCTGGTTTAAAATCTCAATTGTTCCCTCCTCCTCCTCCCCACCTGCCGTACCCCTCTGGCACCGCTCCATGCAGGGAGCAGTCTAACAGGCATTGCTTTGGGGTTCCTTTACCTTAAGCTGTGCTTAGGGGGAGGCGATAGAAACAACCCAGCAAATACTAAGGCTCAACAAGCAGAGTGCAGCCAGCTTTCTGGGCTCTTGTCTGTGTGACAAATGGAGTCACGTGGACTTTCTTTAGTGGCAGCTTTGGCCAGTGGATGTTGAAGTCCTTCAGGAAATATGGTGGGGATCAATATTCCATGGGATTTTTGTAAAAATTACAAATAGTTTAATATTCCTGTTCATTGGGAGAAGAGACTTTCATAATGAAGAAATGTGAACTGGCGGTACTCTCCACTGTAAACGTAAACAAAGGAAGGAAAAAGTGCTGTCCGCTCTTTGATACTGCTAGATTTCTGCCTTGGAGCTGCAAGACTGACCGAGAAAGAACAATACCTCAAGCAAATGTCTGCCGTGATGACACCACCACTCCTCTCGGACTCGTCACTGCACGCTGCCATTTCAGCTGCGAAGCATCTCTTACATCTTAATATCTGTTACAGATCTGTACTTTGGATTTCCTGTTTACATGGTCCTACTGGGGATATGCTTAGTGTATGTGGACTTGCGTTTAAATCTTGTCAAGAATGGGTTCTATTCAGAGGATGGCTGCTCTTCACTGTCTGTTTCAGCTGCCCTCATTTTGCCGTGGCCTCAACCTGTATGCTTCCTTTTTCACGGTTCTGCGAGGAATGATTCCTATACATGAAATATGTGAGGGATTAAACACCATCACCCAGCCTTTAACTTAAATGCTTCCATTGAATTCATTTACATGTTTCCCCCGAGAGAGAAATGGGTAGTGAAGAAGGTCATTTGAAATATGGCTACAGTAACATGGGGATTCTGCATTTCCCAAACCTTTGCGCCAGGGTTTTTTATACAAAATGTATTTAATACGTATCTAAAAATATCTGAAGCCTGCTGCAGTAAAATCACAAAGCTATGGAAACGACTAGACTTTGCCACACAAGCTAGTGTGATGACATCTGGCTGTAGAACTGTCACAGCTGTGTCCTCACCTCCTAACTTTCCAGTTGTCACTAAGCGTCGTCAGAATCCGGAATGGTGCACTGTGCTTTCCAGAGACCAGGGCCTTCCTAGTTGCCTCTGCCCCCGCCAGAATAGGCACCTTCCCGCTCTCCTCTCAGAGGTATGGACAGTAGCTGTCACCGAATTCGGTTATTTTCCCTGGTGCAAAGGGAAGCACTCCCATGTAATGCTTCTCAATGAGGTTTCACTAAGTGACCAGACTTGGGCTTTATTTTTCCCTTTTGTTACGTTTCAGCCTTATCCAGCATCTCTGATTGTCAGCAGGTACAGTTCCTATCACTGGTTTTAAGAAATTCCTGTTAGAACTGCGAGAATACCTTTGTTGTTGTGAATCAGTTTTTGATCAAGATTTAGCTTGAGTCTTAAAGCACTTTTTCATGGAACGCCCCACTGAAGTGTCTCCTCCATTGGCTAAGTACATGTCTGAAGCCGTGAGTTTTCATGTAAGATACTAACAGTCACATTGCCCAACTTCATGTGTCCACGCTGTTTCCCCACTCGGGGTGTTAAACAGAATTGGGATCATTAAGACATGCTCAGGAATGCTTCAAAAGAGGACGGCTTCAAAACCCTTTTCCCGTGACACTGAATGATAGAGAAGAATGAATTCCAGGGGTTTGCCAACTATATACAGTCGCCTTATATCTGCTAATCACTGTCAATAAATGGTCAATGATGGTCAATCAATGGTCACTCCATTCCCCTCTGTTTGAGGAAAACAATGAGAATGTATCTAATGAACTGGAATTCTGGTCAGTATTGGAAAATTTTAATGTTGCAATAGCTAATCAAGCTGAGTGTACTGGTTCTGTGAACCACCTGAAAAAAAGCAAATTAAACTTATTAAACAATAATGGTGTGATATATCTGCTTTACTGGAATCTGGAAATATATGGGCTTTTACAGTGTTTTGAGCAGTGTTTGGAATGCTCTTTTGTGACTTCTTAACAGTTATAGTAGAAAGTGGGAAGGACTAAAATTTTCACAAAAAAGCCAAGAGCAGTTTCATTTGGGGGCCAAAAATGAACGCTGAACTTCTCTATTCAAATCAACCATAAAGAAAATGAGTACACAGATGGCAAGTTGGAAAAGAGTTTACTGATCACTCACCACAATCCACAGAAAAATCTTAAGTGTTTACAATCACAAATCACTCCACTAACTGCTATCACCGTGTCCTTCCTGGTAGAGTGTCACAAGTCAGAAGTTTCCAGTTGTTTCATCTACATAAACCAGATGTGAGAAACAACCTAAGTCCCAGCAACTTTAGGCTTCAATGTGAAACCGCCCAAGCTCTCTTGGGAATGTTCTCTCGCAGAAGGCAGCTTTCCAGCCCAGAAGATTGGTAAGGCCATGCGCTGTTGTTCTCCAGCTAGCCCAAAGACATCTCAACACCTCAAAATGCTCAAGACGTCCCAGAATTTAGTCATGGCAGGTGTGAAGCAGGCTGCATGCCTTGTAGGTGTGGCGAGAAAGACATTAAAATTGTCAGGGAATCCTTGGAGGACTGAGGTACGAAAGCACCAGTGCAGAAAGTCTCAGTAACAGAAAGGCTGGAGCCAGGATGTCTTCCGTCGGTAACTGATCTTTCTAGGCTTTGGTCTAGAAGAAGATGATTTTTTTGTGCTTCGAATTGGGGATTTGCCCCTTTGATTTTAACCTCCGAACAGCCTCCCTCATATGTTTGGGTTGTAGTGGTGGCATTTCTCCCCACTTCTCACACACGTCCAGTGCTAAACAGGGCAAAGAGAGTTTCTTTATCACACAAGGACTTATTAGTCACACAATCTTTTTGAATCCTGGAATTCTTGTTAACTCTTCCCAGCTTGTAACAAAATAAATCATGCCTCTTCCCTTCTAAAGAGAATGCTATACAATGTGTCATGTTAGTTTTAGTATAATGTCCCACACAGGGCTTTATTCCAGGCAACAGTTTAACACATATTCACTGCTTAAAAAAGATTTTACCAGCTGGGTGAAATCAGCTAGACTTTTCACTGGACAGGCAGGGCAGTCCCCAGAGGCGCACAACGTCAGTGACAACTCCCCACCATCCCAGCTGGTCAGCCCTGGTGGTTGCTTTCTCTCCATCTTTAATTTTGGCAGCAACAACGAGCAGGTCCACTAGACAAAAATATAAAATCTGCTTCTACTACTCTGGGCTGAGGACAGGAATCAGGGAGGGGGATTTCCTAGATAGTTCTTACCCCCGAGTATGGAAACTTTCCAGGAATAATGCTCTATTGACTATAGGGCTACATACCTGGTCAACTTCTAGTACAAGTGGAAATTCCCACAGATGCTTAATACAGTCCTTAGCAGAGAGATTCTTGAAAACAAGATCATTACAGGTACAGTACTTGTACCCAGCACCACTTACCTTCTTCTACCACCTCCCCGACGAAGACCTTGGAAATACCAGACATGGCAATAACAACATTCTGAGACACTGAGGTGCCTGTGATAGACTGAATCAGCTTGAAAGAAGAACAAAAATTCTGTGATTAAGACAGTCAAAGACTGACATTAGCACATAGCACCAACAAATGAGCTTTGCGCTGGAAAAGTGTTTACTAATGGCTACGGGCTAAGACTATTAAAACAAGGACTCGGGTGTACAATGACTTACTTTATATGTTGAGATACCGTCACTGGCTTACAGAAGTGGCACTGATCAAATAATCGAGCTCATGTTATTTTTGTTTTCCTAGATAATATACTAGCTTGCCTAAAAAGTCATTTCAACATGCAAGTGGACACGGCTCTTGAGTCTGGATCACTTCCAATTTAAGATGGAAATGAAGTGTGGTGGTCCATCCTTACCCTTTTAATGGCTGCCTTCGGGAAAGCTGACCGGCGATACATTTCGTAACGGTTCAGCTGCTCCTCAGAAAAAGATGAAACCAGGATTCTAGACAAAGATTTGGGTAATTAAGTTGGTTTATAAAATTAAGTGCTAGATAGTTAAGTCAATAAAAGCAAGGCTGAGATAGCAAATGACCCTCAGGTAATCAATGGCCCCAGGCCTGGTGCTTGAGGAATGGAGATAAAAACATTTCTGCTTGAGAAAACATGAATCACAAACTTACTTTCGTCATTTAGGACAAGAACAACAATGTTGTTCCATTACTATTTGTTTTCAGCTTCAGGCGCTCCATAATTTTACCTTACTGCACTTCATATTGATGGCAAAAATTTAATGCATATATATTCAAATCACTAATTTTTTAAAAAGATTTATTTATTTATTTCAAAGAGTTACAGAGAGAAGGAGAGGCAGAGAGAGAGAGAGAGAGAGAGGTCTTCCATTTGTTGGTTCACTCCCCAAGTGGCTGCAATGGCCTAAGCTGCACCGATCTGAAGCCAGGAGCCAGGAGCTTCCTCCATGTCTCCCATGTGGGTGCTCTTAGCAAGCACTTGGGCCACCTTCCACTGCTTTCCTAGGTCATAGCAAGGAGCTGGATCGGAAGTGGAGCAGCTGGGACTCAAACCGGTGCCCATATAGGATACTGGCACCACAGGCGGTAGCTTTACCTGCTATGCCACAGCGCCAGCCCCCTAAACCAGTAATTTTCAAAGTTAACAAATATAGGAAAAATATGGCAAAATATATAGAAAACAATTCCGTTAATAGCTGAAGTAGTTGGATCTCTGCCATCCATGTGGGAGACCCAGATGGAATTCTGGGCTCCTGCTGGCCCACCCCTGCCTGCTGCAGGCATTTGGGTAGGGAGCCATGAAATGGAAGATACTTCTCCCTTGCAAATAGAAAAAGATGGCAAAAACCAATTTTAGAAAATGAACAAAGACATCAACAGGACATTTACAAAAATACTAATGGCCAACAAATACAGAGAAAAAATTTTTCAAATGAACACTCACTTTTAAAAAAATATTTGAGAGGTAGAGCTACAGATAGAGAGGAAGAAACAGGTAGACAGATAGAAAGGTCCTCTATCTGCTGGTTCGCCCTCCAAATGGCTGTAATGGCTGGAGCTGGGCCTATCCAAAGCCAGGAGCCAGGAGCTTCTTTCTGGTCTCCCACATAGGTGTAGGGACCAAAGCACTTGGGCCATCTTCAGCTGCTTCCCCAGGCCATAGCAGAGAGCTGGCTGGATCGGAAGTGGAGCAGCTGGGACATGAACTGGGGCCCATATGGGTTGCTGGTGCCGCAGGTGGAAGCTTAGCCTACTATGCCACAGCACTGGCCTCTTGAACCTTCACTACTAACTAAGGAAACTAAAACTAAATTACAACAAGGTAATATTTTTTTTTAATTTAAGTAACTATTAAAAGGAACAGTATTAGACTATGAAGACAAATTCATACAATCTGGCAGAGTATGAACTGGAACACCTTTTCGAGTGCAGTCTGGAAACATATGAAAAGCCTTTGGAGGGGGGCAGTGCTGTGGTGTAAGGAGCTAAGCTGCCGCCTGAAATGCTGGTATCCTATATAGGTGCTGGTAGGAGTCCTGTCTGCTCTACTTCTGATCCAGCTCTCTGCTCTGGCCTGAGAAAGCAGTGGAAGATGGCCCAAGTCCTTGGGCTCCTATATCCATGTGGGAAACCTGCAAGAAGCTTCTGGCTCCAGGTTAGGTCTGGCCCAGCCCTGCCTGTTGGGACCTTTTGGGGAGAGAATCAGCAGATGGACAGTCTATCTGTAAAAGAAAAAGAAAAAGAAAAAGAAAAGCCTTTGAAAATGTTCATATTGTTTGAACCAGCAATTATACTTCTAGGAGTTTATTGTAGGAAGTAATGGACAAATATGCAAACATGTGTCCAAGGACACCTCAAAATGTTGTAAAAGGAAAAGACTCAACCCGCATAGTTACAGGATTGGTTACATTCCAGCTGAGCCACATAATGGGACAAATGGCAGCTATTAAAAATGAAGATTCATGGGTGTATCTGCTGATAGGAAAATATTTAGCTGTATACACCAACCACTGTTGAAAATCTGAAAAAGTATATGCCCAATTTATTGTACCCAAACATATATACTTAGAGTAAATGCTGCGATAGCATTAATTTTTTCTATATTTATAATGAGCTAACACCACTTTTATAATCAGAAAATATAATAAAGCTATTTCCATTTTCACAAAAATTATGTCCTAGAGGTAGAACTGTTGATATGAGAAATGCCATATATAATAGGAAAAGCAGGTTATGAAATAGGACTTTTATTTTTAAAAAAGATTTATTTATTTATTTGAAAGGCAGAGAGATCTTCCATTTACTGGTTCACTCCCCAAATGGCCACAAGAGCCAGGTCTGGGCCAGGTGGAAGCCAGGCACCAAGAACTCCTTCCTGCTCTCCCACATGAGTGGCAGCGAGTCCAAGTACTCGGGGCATCTGCTGCCTTCCATTAGCAGGAGCTGGATGGGAGTGGAGCAGCCAGGACCCAAACTGACACTGCAGAATGGGATGCCAGAGTTGCAAGCAGCAGCTTAGGCCACTGTGTCACAATGCTGGCTCCAGTATTTGACATTTTGCAAAACAAAACAAAAACCTTGTAAAAACTTATTAATTTTATAAGTTATATGTGTAGAGAAAACACCTGGGATCATATACATTAAAGTATTGGCAGTATATACCTCTTGGTGGCAGGGCGATGAGTTTTCTTTTTACTTATTCACATTTTCTATACTATAACAATGTATTAATTAGTTTATTTCCTCTTGAGTTAGAAATGTAGAGGCCAAGACAAATTTATTAAATTTGTGTGGTCAGGCTGGAGCTCTGAAAAGGGGAAGGAACAAAAAGAGACTTACTGCATCTTCTGAATCTCATCTTCATCCACTTTCTGCTTCTTCTCTTTCTTTTCTTTGGTATCGATTTTCAGTTTTTTGGCTGCAGGAGTAAGTAATGACGCGTCTTCCCTTTCACCTGCTGTTAAATCGGAGACGTCCTGACTTTTGAGCTGGGAAGATGAAAAGAACTCTATTATATATTTGTCCTACTTTCCAGGCTTGGCTAAGGTTAAGACATCATCCTCATAACACAACAGATCCACTTATTGTGTAGTTTTTTTGTCCCAGAACTGACTGTTCCACCCAGTATAAGATACAGTATCTCTCCTCAAGGAAGGTTAGTTAGGCTGTAGAAAGAACCAGTTAAATAATCTAGTTTTCCAGTTTAGCTATGATCACAGCTTCAGTGTCTGTATACAAGGATAAAGAAATGGCCAAGATCATGAAAACCACTCTCTCCATGGACTCTCTCTCCTGCTCATTCCTTACAGGGGATGTCACCAAAGCCCTCTCCAGCCAGCCAGCTCTTCTCCTCTGGATCCAAAGATATTTTTACTATTGACGATTCAATTTAGAAAGATTATTAAAAAGGAGGCCCTGGAGTGAAAATCTGAGATGCTGGTTGGGATGTCCATGTCCCCTATTAGAGTGTCTGAGCTGTTTTGGGCATTTGGAGTGTGAATCAGCAGATAGGCCATTTTTTTTTTCTAATAAGTACATTCTTTGAAAATCAAAAATATGTAGGGGCCAATGCTGTGGCATAGTGGGTTAAGCTGCTGTCTGCAGCACTGGCATCTCATATGAGTGCCAGTTCAAGTCCTGGCTGCTCTACTTCTGATCCAGCTCCCTGCTAATGTGCTTGGGAAAGCAGCAGAAGATGGCCCAAAGATGGCCCAAGTCCTTGGGCCCCTGCACCCATGTGGGAGACCTGGAAGAAGCTACTGACTCCTGGCTTCAGCCTGGCCCAGCTCTAGCCACTGTGACCATTTGGGGGAATGAACAGGCAGATGGAAGCTTGCTCACTCCCCACCCCCCACCCCCAACTTTGTGATTCTGACTTAAAGAATATTAATAAATATTTTACATACTTACATGCATTATGTTACATATTTAAAGCTAATCCACAGTGCTGGCCCCAACATAATCAATTTTTATCGAAAGGCAGAGTTACAGAGAGAGGGAGAGACAGAGTTCTTCCATCTGCTAGTTCACTCCCCAATTGGTCACAACCACCAGGGCTGGGCCAGGTGGAAGCCAGAAGTCCTACATGGGTGCAGGTGCTCAACTTGGGCCACCTTCAGCTGCCTTCCCAGGCACATCAGCAAGGGCCTAGACTGGAAGCGGAGCAGCCAGAACTGAACCAGTGCCCATATGGGATTCTGGGGTTGCAGGTAGCTTAACCTGCTGTGCCACAATGCTGGTCTTTGATTAATTTTTTTTTTTTTTTTACAGGCAGAGTGGACAGTGAGAGAGAGAGAGACAGAGAGAAAGGTCTTCCTTTGCCGTTGGTTCACCCTCCAATGGCCGCCGCGGCGGGGGCGCTGCAGCGGGGGCACCGGTTGATCGGATGGAGGAGGCAGGGCTTTCCCGGGTCTCCGGGGGGGAGGGGCCAAGGCTTGGGCATCCCCCCTTGACTCCTGGGCCAAGCGAAGGTGGGCCTGGAAAAAAGGGGAACCCGGGAAAAAAATCTGGCCCCCCGACGGGAATAAAAAACCCGGGGGCCGGGCCCCCCCAGGGGAAAAAATACCCTAAGGACCCGGGGCGCCGGCCTAATTTTTAAAAATGTTTCAAAAGCATCATAATTCTATCCTCTGCTGGCTCCAAACTTCTATATTGTAGTGAGCTCCTTTAGTGGACCATGCTAATTATTCAATTCCTTTGCGTCCTTGAGACCCATTTTAACTTTTCCTTCTTCAGCTTTGTCAACTGTCTTCTCTTTTTCTAAAAGCTTACCGTGTATGTTTTGGTGACAAGGCTATCCATCTAACGTTCAGTCCATGAGCTCTTCAGTTCCTTCTGCCTCTAAGATCCTAGAAATTCTCTCTTTAGAAAAGGAACCCACAGGACGCTGAGATTCTGGTCGCGATTGTTGCGCGGTTAGGCAACCCTGCTGAGCTATCCTGAGAGCACAGCTGATGGATTTGGTGTTTTTACGTTATAGAAACCCCTGGACATTAGCACGGAGGACACTGCAGCAGCTGGATGAGAATATGACTTCAAAGTCTCCCGTTAACAGATCTGATCAACTCTGCCTCCTGTAAAGACGAAAGCTGTACTTAAACAACAATTAACTAAGAGGACCTATAGTGCGGTGAAAGGCGCGCTGGGAATCCTGGATTTTGGCTCTTGCACTAAGTCTCGGGATGACAGTACCGACTTCATCAATAGGAAAACCAAGAAGCTATTTAAAATTCACTTAGATGTAGCTTTAATCCCGAAAGGCAAGGACTAAACATATTAAAACCTAATGCTCGAGTCTCTGGAACCAAACCAGCACCACAGTTTTGTTGCTCCTCCCACACTCCCCGGACGGCAGATCTAGAGGGAATCGTGGCGAGCTCCGGGTAACACAATCCCGGCGTATGCCTCCAACCTCAGTCACACTTCTCTGCCTACCTCGCCTTCCTCCGCTGCCGCTTCTTTCAAGTCCGCGTCTCCGTCTCCGTCCGCTTCCTCCGGGATCCCGTCCGTGTCCGCAGTCCCCGGGCCCCCAGGAGCAGCAGTCGTCTCGTCTGACTCCCCTGCTTCCCCACCTTTGTCCGCAGGAGACTCGCGGGCATTGTCCATCACAGCTAGAACGGCAAGGGGAGGAGATCGCGGTGCTGTCGGCCGCGGAGCTCCGGACCTCGCGCGGCACAGTGGGCGCTTACTTCCTGTCGTCGCACCGCGATGTCGTCACCACTACTGGTCCTCGGAAGGGCCATGGGGGGCGCGCGGAGCACCTGAGGGCTCCGTTTGAATCCTGGGTGGGTGGTGCTGGAGAGAGAACGCTGAGGGTGCAAAGTCCCCTGTGGATCCGTCCTTGGAGACCAGCACCTGTGAAGAAGTGCAGTTGTGCTTCCTGAAGGGTTTCTTTTTCCTTTCCGTCGTTCTAAGAATGCTTTGTCAGTTAACCTCTTCCTCAAAGTTGGAGGACCTGGGAGAAAACTGCTCCTTTTGTACGCGGCTGTCGCGTAACCTTGGGGTAGCAAACTTTCAGGCAGGGACTCAACCTCCTTTATTTCACCTGGACAGACTGCGGGCCTGACTTTACATTGAATTGCCACCATTTCCCCTCTACGAATATTTCACGAGCACCTTAAAAAAAAAAAGTCCTATTGCTTGAGCAGTGTTTATCCAACCCATTCATTCACTCCACGAGTGTTGACTGCCTGTTTCTGAGTCCGGAGCAGCGCTAGTACAGGGAAAAAACATTTTCTACCGAATTAAATGATTTTTCCAGTTCGCCAGTGCTGAAAATCGGGATAGGTTTCTCAAGCCTGACTTCTGTTACCCACTCAGTCTCATCATGAGGAATCCCTACAGGGTGGGAGGTCTCTCCTTTGAGCGCTTCACTTTAATGAGCCATTTCACGGATTGGGATGGTGAAGGGGCTAGGATATTTCTGCTTTTAAAATGTCCTGCCTTTTTTCATTGAGGCACGCGGAGGGAGGGGCAGGGCGTTTTATTCACCTCTGTATTACCAGGCTCCCGCACCTGTTACATACTGCTTTATGCTTAAAGAACGGACTTGGAAATGTAGGTGCGTATTACCATATTTCTCTCTTTGTTTCCACACCGCCGGGACGAATTACCGTATTTCCTGTCCCGTGAGCTCCCAAAACCTTTGGAAAAGAAGCGCACTTTGGAGGCGTACACAGGTGGGTCCCCTTTGTCCCTTTCCACTTCTTCAATGGGTACCCACATGGCACTGCCCCATTGACCCCCAAGTCCTGTCCTGACACACCAAGGTCCACCTGCACAGGGACGCGGAGCCCCGCCCAGCTAGGTGGGCAAGGGGGCGGGGCATGGGGGCGCGGTGACGCGTGACGCCGGATCCCGGAAGTGACGCGCTCGTGGGGAAAAGGCGGGGGGGGAGGGGGGTGGTGTCCCCGGCCGGTTTAGGGGGTGCGTTGCCCGGAGACGGAAAGTTTGGGAGCCGAGCCGGCTCCACGGTGGCCCCGGGGTGGGGGGTCCTGGGGTGGCGGCCCTGGGGATGGGGAAGGAGCAGGAGCTGCTGGAGGCGGCCCGCACCGGGCACCTCCCGGCCGTGGAGAAGCTGCTGTCCGGGAAGCGGCTCTCCTCAGGCTTCGGGGGTGGCGGCGGCGGCTCCTCTGGGGGCAGTGGCGGCGGCGGCGGCGGCGGCGGCGGCCTCGGCTCTTCCAGCCACCCTCTCTCCAGTCTGCTCAGGTGGGTACGCGCCGGGGCCCGGCAGCCGCCTGGAGACCCCCCCCCCCGCCCGGTACGTCTTTTAGGTCCCTGGAGAGGTCGGGCTCCCGAGACCCGGCGGGGTGGGCTCGCGGCGTACTCGGGGAGCGAGGGCAGGCGGCCGGCGGGACAGGAAGCCGGAGGGGGCGCGGGTCCGAGTTGGCGCGGCGCTCCGCTCTCCTTGTCTCTCGGTCCTGACCCGGGTGCGAAGAATGGTGGGAGTGCCCAGGTGGCCGCTCCGCCGCATGGCACAGCCCGGCGTCACCCTCGCCCGCTGTGGGATGCCAGCTGTCGTTGCTTCACAAAAGCCACTTGAGAGCAAATGATCTGTGTGTGTGTATGGGACCTCCCTCACCTCCTGCAGAAGCTCCCACGGCTTGCAGAATGCCGCGGCTCTGCTGGAGGGGATTCCCTTCCCGCAGGAGCCTGCAGCCTTCCGCCAGGCTGTGCAGAACCTGGCTTCTGTTTATATCAGAATTGTCTCTGGATCGGTCACGTTCGGAGAGTTCGTCTTGGAGCCCCTCTCGTGCTTGAGGCTCGAATTGTGGTTCCTTGTAATGAGCCTCCTTGCAGGGTTCTTCTGGGGTCTGTTCATCAAGAAGTGAAAGTTTAGGAAGACTTGGTTGGGAAATGGAGGGGCGCTTTAAAATTTTCTGGGGTCTGTTGTTGGACACTTGAATCCGAAGCTGTGAGGTTCGAGAGGGGAAAATGAGTTCTGTGTCGCTTGGAAGGGGGATTGGAGATGCTTTGTCATTGAGTAAAATATGTTGGTTCAGCAGCACTTTCATAGCCTGTTTTCCTTCCTTGTTCTTTTGAGGTTTTTAAGAAGTGGAAGTTCATTTAGAAATGGCTTCGTTAGCTTCTGTTCCCCATTAATTTATGTTACTTCGATTTGGGTGAGCTTGGACCAAAAAAAGAAGCCCGAGTCAAGTATTTTAAGCACTGAGTACCAACCACGGTCTTCACAGGAAGATTTGGAAAGGCAGTGTAAGACAAGAACCCTTCCCGGGAGTTTCCTTAAGGAAAGAACAAACAAGCAGAGCAGTACCGTTTCCTGCTGTTTTGCCAGCCCTTACAATACTGGCCTATAGTAGATACGGATGATTTATCAAATCATACAAGTGTCAGCTGGAGGACCGCAGATTTCCAAGTCAACTGATGGCGGTACTTACCATAGTTGTTGGTAGTTCAGAGAACACTTTGGGATGGGGAGGAGGTCACCTCTTGCAGGAAGAGTGGGACTTAAGATGATTTGGGTAAATGAAGTATAATGGGAGTGTTCCAGGTGGGCACCCCTTCATCGGAGGCAAAGAAGTGAGAAAGTTGGCCTATTGGGTACTTGTGGGGCACTGGGAGAAGAACTTCCTACTGGGACTTTTGAGTAGTTGGGCACGATACGGTAAATAAGAATGGACGCGTATTCTTCCAGCTATCAAAGTGACAGTCTTTGTCAGGCTTATTTCTCCTGTCCTTAGAGGTGCTCAATAATTTCACACTGAACACATGAATTGAGCTTTGAACTTTGATTACTTTGATACTGTGCAGTTCTGACGTCTAAGCAGTGAAGGAAAGACTGTACATGATTGGAGGTGCCTCTGCCTCTAATGAGTTGATGATGCAGCTTTTGGAGGTTTGCCAGAGATACCTTAACCCCCACCCAGCCTGTGCTGCTGAAGTGAGACACTTTTGCATTACCTCCTGCCTCTAAGTACAGGTCAGATTTTTCTTAGTGCTCCTCCTCAGACACTTGAAATTCTGCTGTAGTTTTAACTGCCATGCAGTTAAGCAAGACCAGGAAATATGTTGAGCAGAATGTTTTTATTCTGGGCCTCCTGCTGATGTGTCCATTCCCTGCCGTACAGCGTGGGTGGTGTCTTGGTTCCCTGGAGTTGAGAGAGCTGACTCCTTCTGACTTGCTCCTGTGTCTGTTACAGATGTTAGATGCTTAACAGCTTGCCCAGCCTCTCCTTCCTGTGACTCCTAGGGCAGGGAGGATCTGCAGTCAGTAGTTGCATCAGGTGTGCCACTTATTAGCAGTGACTCTGGTTAAACATGGTGAAAGATTTCTGAGTGGGGCCGGCGACGTGGCTCATTTGGTTAATCCTCCGCCTGCTGCACCGGCATCCCATATGGGTGCCGGGTTCTAGTCCTGGTTGCTCCTCTTCCAGTCCAGATCTCTGCTGTGGCCCAAGTGCTTGGGCCCCTGTACCCACATGGGAGACCAGGAGGAGGCACCTAGCTCTTGGGTTCAGATCGGCGTAGTTCCGGTTGTGGCGGCCATTTTGGGGGGTGAACCAACGGAAGGAAGACTTTTCTGTCTCTCACTGTCTAACTCTGTCAAATTAAAAAAAAAAAAAGATTTCTGAGTAAATCAGACCATGCATTTAAGTGATCATTAGGTCAACATGTCATCTCTGCTTAGGTTTGGAAATAATAGAAAATGGGTTTTTAGGTCCCCGATTCCTCTGTCTCCCAAGGACCTGTGTTGTTTATCATGGACTTGGCCTTTGCATCCTACCGCCTGGAGTACTGCCAGCTGCAGCCTACCTGTGTGTCCTGCTGTTTGAGTGATACAGTAAAGCTGGCAGGAGTAGGAGCTTCAGCCGCAGTGAGTGTCAAGGTTCCAGACTGCCCAGGTGTTGTCTGTTCAGCTACTTATGACCCTCCTTTCCGCATAATCCACAGACACTGTGCTTATTCTTAAACTACGAAGTGTCCCTTTCTCCCACTCCGTCCCTTGTTTCTTATACTGCTTGGGTTTGGGTTTTTACTTCTTATAGCCTTCTCTGATTACCCTAATGTGTACAGATTTCTCAAACTTGGCTTCCTGGAGCACATCTTCTGTGGTATAAAGTAGTTCATTGACTTATACTTTGCTTGCCTAGCTTTGGCCGGCGAGTATACTGTTAATACTTATGTCATCACCTATTGAGATTGTAACTGAGAAGCAGAAAGGTAGCAAAGAAAACTTGTACTAGAAAACAAGTTGTTATAAACTTTATGTTCTTCCAACCATCATTTATTTCCATACCCTTGTTTGGAGGTAGTGGAGAGGTATACTTAAGACTGCTTGGGGCCGGCGCGGCGGCTCACTGGGCTAATCCTCCGCCTAGCGGCGCCGGCACACTGGGTTCTAGTCCCGGTCGGGGCGCCGGATTCTGTCCCGGTTGCCCCTCTTCCAGGCCAGCCCTCTGCTGTGGCCAGGGAGTGCAGTGGAGGATGGCCCAAGTGCTTGGGCCCTGCACCCCATGGGAGACCAGGAAAAGCACCTGGCTCCTGGCTCCTGCCATCGGATCAGCGCGGTGCGCCGGCTGCAGCGCGCCGGCCGCGGCGGCCATTGGAGGGTGAACCAACGGCAAAGGAAGACCTTTCTCTCTGTCTCTCTCTCTCACTGTCCACTCTGCCTGTCAAAAAAAAAAAAAAAAAAAAAAAAAAAAAAAAAAAGACTGCTTGGTCTGGAGTCAGGCTGCCTGGATTCACAGTCCACTGCTACCATTGTCTAGCTGCTTCATTTTCTACAAGTTAACCATTTTGAGCCTCAATTTTGGCATCTGTAAAACGGGGATAATATTATCTGCTGTGTAAGAATAGCCTTATTTAAAGAGTGTAAGAATTTATCACAGGCCGGCGCCGTGGCTCACTAGGCTAATCCTCTGCCTGCGCCCACTGGCACACCGGGTTCTAGTCCCGGTTAGGGTGCCAGATTCTGTCCCGGTTGCCCCTCTTCCAGGCCAGCCCTCTGCTGTGGCCCGGGAGTGCAGTGGAGGATGGCCCAAGTGCTTGGGCCCTGCACCCGCATGGGAGACCAGGAGAAGCACCTGGCTCCTGGCTTCGGATCAGTGCGGTGCGCCAGCTGCAGCACGCCGGCCGCAGCAGCCATTGGAGGATGAACCACCGGTAAAGGAAGACCTTTCTCTCTCTCTGTCTCTCTCACTGTCCACTCTGCCTGTCAAAAATAAAAAATAAAAAAAGAATTTATCACTACTT